TTGTTGCCTGACTGCCTCCTGGCTCACAATTATGCAGTTTATATATGATACATAGTGCATTACTTTTCGTAGATATAAGTATGAACAGTGAATGAAAACAGCCTATGTTTTGCAGGACATTAAACTCTGACCTGTACTTCTTAAGTGATATACTAGGAATTGAAGCACACTTTTGCTCTCATTCACGTCAATCCTGATGGGCGTGTCAGCTAAATCTCTAAGGTGCAAATGTTATTGCAAATCATTCCATTTCCACAGATAATACTTCCTATCTAATGTCAATCTGATTTATCTTGTGAAAGTTGTGCTATTGGAAATGCAACTTTTCGAACTATCCTTAAAGTGATTTGTGTTTGTCATGATGGAGGTTATAGTTTTCTCTGGTATGTGTGGGCAGTGTAAGGAGACACCACAGGCCAAGAGGAGAGGGGTGACCTGCTGTACTCTCTGACCTCCTGGCCCTCTCAGGAGAGGCTGCCATGTCTCTCCCCTGCTGTTCTGATTTGGAGGTGAACCTAAGTATGCATGAGTTAGGAGTCATCTGCTTTCAAAATAAGTTTGAATATGTGATTCATTTTGTAGTTTTCCTATGGGGGGAAAGAGTGGTTCCTTGGAAGTTGGACTGTTAGCTGCGATGGATGTTCATAATGGACAGTTTTACTGTTCACCTCTGATTTCTCTCCACATAAGTTGGCTAACCTGGAAATTTGTTTAGATCTGACTTTTTTTTAGGGATGTCCCTGTGTACTTAAACTTAAGCAATTACTTTGATGATTTCATGAGTGGATATAATAAAAGGATTGATCCGATTTTTTTAAGTAGAGCTGTATGAGGTACTTATCCATAGTCAGTGTATTATTATATACAGTATGTTTGTCTTATTGTGTGACTTTGTTGAAAACACAAAAATAACACAATAACTTAAACTAACTCATCAAAGCAGTGGTAAAAAAGCAACTCCTGTGTTCTGCAAGGTAAAATTACTGTTTTTGTCAAAGGACTTTGGTGGCTTAGGTAACAGTTTCAGGTCCCCACTGGGAAGGGCTGTCTGACATTGAGGTAAAGCACTGAAAATACACTAAATAAAGCATACACTTAAACTGATATGGATTTTTTAAAGGTGGCTAAAATCTGTTTTGTTTCTGCCCCTGTCCACAGCAGTACATTGTTCAGCTTCCATGCTGATACTCGTAACAGCTTCTCCAAACTGTGAGCGTGCCGACTTATATCTACTGTAGATAATACACTGACCTCATACAACCCGACTTTAAAAAATCAGAACTATCCCTTTACCCTGCGAACCCTTTCATATGCAGGCAAACAGCAGAAAATGACATATCATTGATACACTGTAATTGTGGCAAGCCTTGTTGTATTGTATTGAGTCAGATCTTGTGACACTTACACTGCAGCGCTGCGGATGGATTCCTCCCTGTTGCTTTTGGCTCAGAGGGCAGCGTTGTACTGTGCCATGCCTGTTGTATCAATGTGCTGCCAAACCTAGCAGTGCCCTTTGATCACATGAATGGCCTTAGCTGAGTAGGTTGGCAAAGAAGACCACCCGGGACAAACTCATCCCTTTTGTAGTTAAGAAGTTAAGAATACAGTGCTGCAGCTGTGAAACCTCCTAGATCACTGAATACGACCCTGGCCTGCGAGTGATTCCTGGTGTTTACACTGTGCTTGTGCTGAGAATACCAATGTGCAGTGGGGCCAAACATGGAGAAGGAAAAGTCCTCTCCGTCTCAGTGAGCTGGTGAAGTAAACAGATTGTGGCTCAGCAAAGCCTCACAACAGCTTTCTGGTGGTTAGTGCCGCCTGTTTGTCATTTACTTTGCATGAAAGCGTTACATAAAGGATGAAATTGGACTCACAAGTGCACAACTAGAGTCTAGAGTTGCTCCCAAGAGAGCAATTAACTCTGTTTTGGTTCCACAGTGGTTTTAAACAGTAGGCAGGTAATATAAGGGTAGAGACAAAACAAAACAGGGTAGTGCTTTCATTGGCTAAAAGCAGGGTGAAACTGTTAACTTTAAATCGTAACGTTTTGAGTTATGAGGGAAAAAATCTGTTGTGTTCCTCCTTTGATCATTTTATTTTTTGATGTTGAGCATCAAGGTAAAATTAATTTTAGCTAAGAAAGAAGACATAGGTCATCCAGTGGGCATGAATATTTGGTACAGACTGACAGGCAGTCAACCAGTTGTGGGTCACCAGTGCTAGCCGGTACTTGGTGCCCTCTGTGGTTTTACTACTCCTTACATTAGTTTGGGATGTCATTCAAATCCAAGGGTAAGGTAAAGAGTACTGAGGTTACGGGACTACCAGTTACTATGAGTTGCCACCGCCACAACTTGTCCAGTAAAAGAAAGACACCTACTGCAAACTAACCCTCTCCTTTCCATTGTATAATGTAGGACAAACAAAAAAAATACAGAGTGTGCAGGGGCTGCCAATAAGTCCACTTCCTCCCACCTGTTTTAAGACACATTTTGGGCCCACAGTAGCTCAGTCCATAGGGACTTGGGTTGGGAACTGGAGGTTTGCCATCCAGACCGAATATGGAGTGTGGACTGGTAGCTGGCAAAGTGCGATGGAAATGAACATGCATATGTGATGTACATGAAGCATCTGACTCAACGTCACAGAAGTATCTGTTCCACTGAAGACGTGCCCAATTTTGGCAGACGAAAACATCAGATCAGTGTGGACTGACAAGGAGACTGTAGCATTTTTCACATTAGGACATTAGATTTACAGTTATGTCATCTTTCCATCTTTTTTTACATGGTTCTCCAATGTTTGAGGTAGAACTTCAATTGAGCCCAAAAATAAGGTCAGACGCTACATAAACCCACTAGATTCTGTCCAAGCCCAACCCAAGACAGAAACACAGGAGTAGAGTATGGTTGAGAAATTCCAGGTAATATCTGGTTCGTGCAAAGAATCAAAGTTCTAGTTTGAAGATTGACTGGTGCTCTTTTATTAACCCCATCTTTTTGTGCTCTCTCCTTCTGCAATAGTTGAAAATTGCACCCAATTAGAGAATAAGCTCAGTCGTTTGGCTTAACGCACCCAACTCACATAACAGTAACAATATTGACAGAAAAGTATAGATGGATGGACTCTTATTTTCTTTTGCCAATTTTCTGGAAACTCAGTTAAGATTTTCATCACATTTGGATGGAAACTTGACTACAGACTGCTGAAATACCTTGAACAAAAAGAAATGTCTAGTGCAGGGGTTGGCAACCTTTACTATCAAAAGAGACATTTTTGGTCAAAAAAGAGAAAAAAAATCTGTCTGGAGCTGCAGACAGAGCCTCATAATAAAGTTAACACAACCTTTTAAGTCGAATTTAGGCTATCAACATTACTAATGGATCTAAATGAGCATTCATTGATATGTTTTAGCACAAGGTGGCTATTCTGCAGTCGGCTATTTTTGATTATTTGGTACTTTAATTTTGTAGCGTTGCTGATGAAAGCAAACAAATTTGTCCACGCACGATTAAATTTGCTCTTTACCCCTGGGACTTTTCCCTTTTTGGATTTGAATTCCACACATAGCCTAGCTAGGAAGACCCAAGACTACTTTGGCCATTGTTAGTAATGTTTTCAGATCAAAAGGCCACAGACATATGACACACATTTTAGTTGACAAAGTGTTAAAAAACATTTTTTTAAATCGGTGTGTAGGCTTTGCATTTTTACAGTTGAAGAATGTAAGAATCCAACAAACACAGGACTTTCACCGAGGAGACTGGTGTAAATACCCCAAAGTCAACGTTGACGTCTTTTAATAGGAACATAGTGTAGCATACTACGCTACTGACGTATGTTACCTCAGTACTTATTTAAAGCTAAACCATAATGTTTTTTTCTAAACCTATCCGTCTAGTTTTGTTGCCCAAACTTAATCACAAAGTTTTATAGCGTAATATCGACCATTTCATTACGTTAAGGATGTCTTTAAACCTGTGATCATAAGGACAGTAATAAATTTCATTTTAGGGTCGATAATAAATGTTGTTTTGGAAGTCATTGGAAAATGATCTATTCGGGGTGATGTAAATAAAGAGTAGATAACTAAGTCTATGTGGGCTTGTTGACAAAAGGTGGAAATGTTCAGAGGATACACTGGGTTATGATGTGCTCCAGTGACTTTATAGCAAATCTCCTGTCAACCCCAGCTCTCAGATGTCAGTAAACCTCTTTCATGGGAAACGCCACCCCAGAGGCTTGAAGCTAAGATGCTTTTTCCACCAATACAGAAATGTTCTTATCTTCCTTTGAAAACTGGAAAAGTAGCTGCAGTCACATTTTATTTGATGTTACCTTCCACAAAAGGTGAGGAGAATTCATATGTCACTTCTTTATAACCCTGGTTCTGTTAAGAATAGTAAATATAGAGCTGCCTGAGGCCTTGTTTTGCTCTTCTGTGACATCTCTGCCATACATAACTGGAATGTGACAACCTGTTTATTAGTCATTTGAGACATATAACTTCCACGTGTGCCTATGGGCTAACACGACATAACTTGGGACATATTTGGAACTGCTTACAACATGGTCTTTGTAGTGAAGTCGCAACTGTCTTTGGATCAGTGGTAGAGTCATTCATCTCAAGCATGTGGCCTTTACAGTATCCAGCAATTCAGATCCTGGGGAACTACTGTTTTTAGCCTCTGACAATACATCCTTTGTGCTGAAAGTGTCACGTTCTGGCTCTTCCTGTTAAGAGCCTCGCACAATATCTATAAATTTAGCACCTTTGATGGTCTGACCTTGGAAAACAAACAGAAAGCTCATGTCTACGGGCTGTGAGGTGGAGCTGGGCCGGGATATCAGAGCAGCTGTTTCTTTTCTGCCTGCGGAGTGTAGAGTGGGTGTTGAAGCTTTAGACCCTCTGCCCACCCTGGCCGAACAGAGGGGAAGGGGAGGGGGAGTGCAGAGGGAGGGGTGCTGCCTGTTGAGCCCAAGGTGAAAGGGTGCCTTGGACCTGCAAATGGAGACGGAGAGCTAACACTCAATCTGACTCTGAGTCAGGGGGGAGATATGCAGTTTGGATGGGTGCACTGTCTGCCTTGAGCCTGCCTTCTACTCTAGAGACAGAAGCCCTCTGTTGCTCATTTGCCTCTCTGTCTGTCGTTCTTTCTCTCTTTCTCTCTCCCCCTCTCACTCTTTCACTCAGTTTCCAGCCTTCCCATCTGTATGTGATTTAGGCACAGGCTCAGGGGAGAGGCAAGTCCGCTAGGGGAGAGGAATCAGGGCAGGGAGGGAGTGAGAGAGAGAGAGGAAGTCCACACAAGTTTGTTTTACAGGACTCTGGCCGGGCCGGGACTAGGCACAGTGCTGCATCTGGAGGTCGGAGCGGTGGAAAAGTGAAGCCAGCAGGAGCAGCCGAGCAAGAGGAGCTGCCCAGAGACTTTCCTCCAGCCAGGAGACACTGACAGAGACACAGACAGAGAGGGGGGACCAGTGGTCTACTGGCAAACACACAAATATGGCTGCTAAATCTCTGTCCTGCCTCTGCCTTATCTGCATCCTATCAGGGATTGCCTATCCAGCTTCTGCCGCCAGGCTTGGGGAACAGCAACAGGCTGTGCCGACAGTAAGTTTTATCTCTTTTTGGCAAACAAACATTGCATGCTAGCACAGTTATTTTTAGTCTCTGACCTTTTCTACCTACTGCATGTGCATGTAATCTGGCTGATGATACTGTAAACAAATGTAAAGGTGAAAACTGTAAAAGATGAAGCCAGCTTGGGAGTGTTTTGGTTAGTTATGGCAGTCTGGAGAGCTGTCTGATGTGTCTGTGTGGACTGACAATGGTCCTGCTTTGTGTTCACGCATGTGTGTGTGTTTGTGTCAGCAAACGTACCCCAAGGCTAGAGCTCAGATGGGCTCTGAGTTACTGTCTCCACCACTGTCATGCCCCTCCCGCCCCTCCCTGGCAGTTCCCTAATAGAAACCAGCTGGCAAATGTTGAGCAACACCCCAGAGAGACAGAGAGAGGGAGCACAATAGACAGTAAGGGCATGAGAAGCCATAAGGGACTAGTGGCCAACATTTCCTTGGCTTAGTGTGCACCTAAGGATATATACTCAGAGGCCAAACTTTCAGCTAGGCAGACAATTTTCTTTAAGGATTATAAATTATACTGTCTTATCTGATTGTGAAGATTTTCGTTATATCTGTTCTGGCACTATCTGTGGCCTCTTTACCCCCCACAATTGGCAATCAATGTATTTGCATTCTGTAAATGCCCCCCCATATAGCAGTATGTGACTGGCTGCTTTTCCTGTATGATTCAAAGTGTGTACCCACAAGGAACAAAATATTGAATGATGCAAAATGATGCATGCATATACTGGACAGGAAAAAATAGTGCCTAATACAGAAGACAAATCGTGTTGTCTGACAGTTAACTGCTATCTTTTGTCTTTTTTTATTTGCTGCAACCAGTAGGTCTGCAGCTTGTTTTGTTGGTTGGTTGGTTGGTTGGTTGGTCATTCAGTCATCAATTTTTCCACCCTTTGGTGGCCACACTTTTGCCCCAAGGAGACTTAAATTTGACTTGAAGGTCTCAACTATTGCAAATTCATGCTTGTTGAAGCAAGATTGCATGATGAATCCTTCAGCCTACTATTTGTTTATCTGCACTGTAAACGGATACAAGGGTGTGAAGGCTGCAGTGGTGGATGGGCGTGTAGGGTATCTTCCATGCAGGAAACTGAAGCTCATGTCCTGTCACACAACCGCTTATGACGTTTGTTTTTTTGTTAACCATAACTCTCCTAGCCTTAACCACAAGTATTAGTTGCATAACACTACCATAACCATAATTCATTTGCCATGACCACATGGCTTCTCTAACCTTTACCATACCTTTGCAGAAGACTTTGCAGAAAGTAAGAATTTTAAAAGCACTAGCAGTGGACATGATTTTATTTTATTTTTTTCAATCATGATCTGTGGTTTTGCATTTTCAAACAACATTGACATTCTTGTCTTACAATAGAGTTGTTATCATCAACTCACCTTGAGCAAAGCATAGCAAATGCGTGGCAGATTGTGTGATGTACAACAAAATCCTAATGAGCCAATGCATAATTTTAAAAACCAACCCAAAATTATATCCTGATGTCTTGATCTATAATAAGTTTGCTTGGTTGATGGACTTTCTTGTAAAGTTTTGATGTCATCTTAATCATCACTGCTGCACGAGCTTGTATAATGTACATGTGCAAGCCACAAATAAGTAGAACAAAATGTCAGGCCATAGATAAACTACAACATTATCCTTTTGCAGAAATGTTTCAGTGCACTGTGACTGTAATTATGCGGCCACTTAAGAAGATTTCAGGGTTGATTTGTGTCCTTTGGCCCCAGAGAACTCAACTGGGAAGCCATGTTTCTTGGCTAGGCCTATACAGTGACTTTGCTCAAAACTAATCAGTATGAAGAAACATCCTGTGAAATGTCAAAGAGAATGTAGAAAGAGAAACAAGTGCAATTTAAACTTTTCTTCCCCATTTATTTTCTATTGTACATGTTTATTTCTCAGTCTGAGTTTTCAGAGTTGAGAGTCCCAGGAGACAAGCCCCCCCCACCCCCCCACCCCCCCACCCCCCGCAGCCAGACTGTCTGTGCAAAGTTATTGAGTTAGGATGAGATTCTCATGACCCTGGATCTGTCCTGTCCTGAGGATGTTTGGAGGAGTTAGCATGACTAAATCCAGTGTCTGAACCTCTCGTCAAGGTCAATATAAATACAGCAGCCAGCTCCAGTTGGTACGCAAAGCGGAAATTAGATACAACCTCCCAGCTTTAACATTTAATCCACCTAATTCTCCCACTCTGGGAAAACTCTGCCAGGAGGCAGATGTACATAAAAACACACAAAATACACTACATTTAAAAGTTATCTTAAAAAAAACCCTCATCATTCTAGAGAACTGTCTGTCATTGAGGCATCCCACCTCCACACATGCACTGCAGAAAGAGGGCATGCATGGCCACAGTTTTGGAGCTACATGATCAGAGAGAGTGTTGACTTTGGACAGCACTCATCTGCAGAGCCAAATCCTGTTTTCATGCTTGATACCAGCTACATTTGTTCGGCTTTCTATCACAGAGATGCAGCCTTATGGTGTATCCTATTCGGTCAACACACAGGAAATACACTGATAAATACTGAGGAGAGGCAGCTTCACATGAACACAGAGAGGCTATATAACATGCTGAATGTCATCTTTGTTCTCCACTGTAGTGGGCACAGTGGGAGAGCCACAGAAATAGTTCACATTACTGAGTGTGCTCATAGTTGTCAGAAGGCTCTAAATGGCAATTGTTTTAATTTCCATGATAGTTACAGATGAATTAAAGTAACCACTATGTTTGAAATTCCTATTCAAATTTTCAGATTCTTTATTACAGGACTACCCCCAAGTGAAATTGGGGGTTGTTGTCTTGAGAGTAACATGAGAAGATTGATATCAACCTTATGTTTCTGTGTTTAGTACTCAGCCAGTTAGCCTAGCTTAAAATTAGGAGGAAACAGCTAGGCTGGCTCTGTCTAAAGTTTAAGTAGGGGACATGGGGGGCAATTACAACATCTCAAATTGCACCTGTCAGAAATAAGACAGAGCCAAGAAATGCAATATGCACATGGTCTTTGATGGTCCCTCTCCGCCTGACAAAGGACAAAGTGGTATCTCGTACTTGTCAAAGTTTTTCTGCTCAGTCTGATTTTTGAGGTGTAAAAGTAGTTTTTCTTTCATCTACAATATTTTCCACATATTGTCCTAACCTTTAATGTCTGTTAATTTAAGTCTGTCTAGTTTAGAGGACCATTCTGTTGTCTTTACTTTGATATTTCTGTAAAATCTTAGCTTTGTTATTTCTAGCTAGCAGGGTAGCTTGTGTCATGGACGGTACAGTTGGTGTCAATTGTTGGGTTAGCAACATTTGTTTGGACAGAAAAATGACTTGTGGGCTAAAGCCCATTTTAACATGGAAGAAACACAAAAACAGGTAATGTTATACAAACATGTCAGCCAAAACCAAATTATAATAGCCATTTTACTCTGAAGTTCACCTTAGTAAGAGCTTTGTGTCTTCTGTTAAGAAAACCCTTTGGCCCTTGGACATCCCTTTTTATTTTCACAACACAGTCCAAGCTGTAAACACGGCAATATATTAATACCTTATATAGTTTATATGGCTATCATGTTAGCAAACAATGTAAGCTCACCAGTGTGTTCACTACAGAGTAGAGCTGGATCTTAATACCCAAGAATGTAAGTCAGTATTTCCTTATAGCTCTGTTTTGGTCTCCACCAACTCCGAAGAATGTCTCTCTTTAGCTGCTAAATGCTCCACTTTGTTCACCAGCTGGTCTCTAGCTGTGTCTGTCTGCTTTTTGTTGCTGTACAGTACAGAGAGTACATCCAATGAGTTCTCATCCCAACTCATCAAATATTGCTGCTTTGTCATCTACGTATGACGTGCCAGATATCCTCCTGCATTTGTTGACATCCTGGGACAATGTATCAGTTACGCCTGTTAAGTGCATTATGTCTTTACTGAATACGCTTCCATTTTCACAGAAAATGTACAGTTTCTGCTCCTTAGATACATAAGTCATTTCAAAATAAATTTACAATGTCAGTAAAACACCTTTTATTTACGTTTATTCCCTTGTGCAACACAAGCATGTGGTTAGGTTTGGACAACAAAGGCATGTGGTATGGTTTAAAAAAAAACACATCACGGTTGGCTCTACATTCATGCAGAAGGGAACACCAGGTTCCCAGATAAAAGTCCGGGGTTTTCGTCCTATATGGATTTTCTAGCTCCTTATATCACATCATTGCCGACAGCGTATCATACTGCCACAACAGGTGCCATACGGCCAACAGGCAGCGTATCCATCCAGCCGCGTATCAAACTGACACCACCCAGCAGCATATTATACTGCCACGAAAGGTGACTTCTGGCATCAGTGTCTGTCGCCAAAATCACTGACCAAGTAGCGGTGTTAGACAAGGTTGGAATGAGAACAGGATGATACATCAGGGCTTTTTCCAGCAATGTAACTGGAAAGTATAAGTTGGATGGATTAACCATTGCTTATTAAAAAGTAGCTCCAACACCCCTAAAATTGTCCATTTTACATTTCTGTTTATGTTCAAGTTAAATAAGTTAGATATGTTGATTGATGCGTTTTAGATAAGTTGGAGGGCATATTCTTTAGAGACAGGCTAGCTGTTTATCCATGCTTTTAGCCTCTATGCTACGCTAGGCGGAAACCCAAACTTACGAGCTTACTAACAGACATGAGATTGATATCAGTCTTCTCATCTCACTCTCAAAAAGAAAGCAACTAGGCTAAGCATAGCCCTGTTTCCCAAAATGCTGAACTGTTCCTTGTAGGTCTGAAGCTTAAATTAGAAATCCACAAAGTCATCCAAACGTGCAGAAAAATGTTATTCTCACAAGCTGCTTGATTGTTTACTTCAGATGCATTCCACTCATTTTAGCGGAGTCTAAAGAGTCCAAATGTCCTACCTCAAGACCATCTGCTGCATCTCCCTCTAACCCTCTAACCCCCTGCCCTGTGCTCCCTTGTGTATACACACTGCAGCTGTTTGACCCATCACACACCCTGTCACACAGCTAATAGGTCTGAGCCAACTCAAAACACTTTTAAGTGGCTTTACAAATGGTAAGTAACTCAGGATCTCAGTAGTTTTCCCATAAACCCGTGGTTCATTACTCCTAATAACTTGGACTACGATCTGGAGCCAGAACTTTTATCTTTTTTCCTGTGAACATTAAAACCCATTTGAATCACTGGCTGCATTTTCAGGATGTGTTACATGGAAGGTTGACAGATAGACTGTTTTATGGTAATGATGGATGGTCTGGTATCAGTGTATGTGCACTGTGGGTCAGGGAAAACCACAGGAAAAAGGTCTGCAGGAAGAATCAGTGCTGCTGTTCACAGCGTGTTTCACATTATCTGGCCACAAAAGCATGTCTTTGTCTCACAGCCCATCTGTGAATAAATCAAAGGAAAATGTGAATTATAAATAAGCATGCAGTACTGTATGTCTGTGGAATGTTCCATCTTCTGGCTTTTCTAGATGCATCAATGTCCGGTTAACTGAGTGGAACGAGTAGAGGTCAAACTATGGAGTTCTTACAGGCTGCTGCGAACAAAGTGCTATTGTATGCTTCATTGAATGGTGCTGCTTCAAATGTTCAAAGATGTTCAAAGGGCAGTGTGTGTGGGTGAGGGGGGCCCGCCTCTGAACTCTGACATCACACCATCCTGAGAAGCCGTGCTGAACAAACATCAGACAGGATACAGGTTTTAAAATGACTTGCTGTATATGGGAGGGTGCTGCTGTGATTCAGAAGAATTTCCTCACAACTCACTTGGTGCATCTGCCAAATCAATTTTTACAGAGGCTTTGGGGGCCTTGACCCTTCGGGCCCCAGAGCCTGTGTCTGGTGGGCCTTTTCAGTAACATATCTACTGTGTGCTTGCAGAGCTTTTTTTGTTTGTTCTGAGGGTATGATTTGCAGTGCAAAGAGTTGTAGAATAGTGGAAATAAGTTGTTGCATAGCTTTTCTGCATATATTGACTTTGATCACAGATGCTACAGTGTGCATTTGGTTTCATTTTGCATCCCGTCTGCTTGAGAAAAAGGGATCTATATAGGGATCTTTACATTGCCTCTCCCATGAGGTTTCTTCCATTTCTTCTTCATGTGCTCAGATGATTATTTCCTTGCCTTCTTACAGAGCTCAGGCTAACTCAGGAACAGTTGACTTAAAACCCACTGAGACATTCCTCTACGTGACTTTGGGCTACACTTGACTTGAATAATTTGGTTGACTTTTGGGACATGAGCAATGGTCTACATGGTGAAAGTCCTATCTTTGGTTGACCAATCCAACACCCTGACCACCCCCTTACACAGACTTTGTTGCTCTTTATACTACCTATGGGGTTGTAAAAATAATCACTGCCCACTGCATGATGTTATCAAACCAGGGAATTCGTATGTCCACTATGACAAAGGATCCTAATTGATTTTTCATTTCCATTGTTTCTGTGCTACCATCGCATAATGCAGTGTTAAGCGGTCATGGTCATTGAATGTATTTCTGTGAGACCAGGCTTGCAACATTGCTATTGGAAGAGGTCCCTGTCTACATCTGCAACAAGACGTACACAGGATGTATCTGATGAAGTACATCTGCAGATGAGAGACAACTCCACTTCATGGTTTTTAGCCGAACGGTCTAGCTCTCACTGCAGTATTTTTGTCAGCTACCAGTGGGACCGAATGATGGTTATGTTCGTCAGTCAGTGGGTCAGTCTTTGACACTCTGTCCAAGCACACAATATTATTCAATATTAATAGCATTTAAAAAGTAAAGCCAAGTTTGCACATGTGGATGTTAATGTTTTGCAGAGGATGTATCCTAAAGATTTGGGTAACCCACTGACCTTTTCACTAGTGCCAGTATTGGGCCAAAACTTCCTCTCATTGTATGGAAATATCCTGCTCTAACAGACAGATTGCTATGACATTTACTGAACACAGTCATGCTCTCCAGATGATAAATCTTTTAAATGTGTATTCCCCATGAGTTTTAATTCTTGTGCCACCTTTAGGAGAAAATAGCTTTGCATGGAATTGAACAAGCCAAACATGTGTAAAAGACTTTTAGTTCATTATTTCTAAAGGAGCATTGGCACTCTACTCAACATTAGCACATTTACTGAGAAAGATGGAGGACAAAATATACCTACAGTGAACAGGGCTCGTGCAGCTTTGAAGACTTTAAAGTAAACCATATCATGGTCAGGGGCTTATACTGCTGTTTTACTTTTTATGCCTCCAAGCCAGCAAAAGCCTTGGCCAAAGGAATTATGTTTTCAGATTGTACATCCTCATGTATATCCCACTCCTGTGAATACAATATCTCTAGAACACCTTGGGTGAATTTCCTCAGATTTGGCACCAACATCCCCTTGGACTCAACTATGAACTGATTAGATTTTGATGGTTAAAGGTTAAGCCATGTGACCTTGTCCTTCTCATTCTTATGAAAGCAATATCTCAAGAACACCTTGATTGAATTTCTTCAAATTTGGCACAAACGTCTACTTGGACTCAACGATGAGCTGTCTAGATTTCAGTGAAGGTTAAAAGTCAAGGTCACTCTAATCTTGCGTCTGTCTCATTTGGTGAACACAATATCTTCAGAAGGCCTTGGGGGAATTTCTTCAAATTTGGCACAAATGTCCATTTAGACTAAAATTTCACTGTGACATCATGATGTTCTACAGAAACACTTTTCTGGTCATTATTTTATGTCATATCTCAGGAACAGAAGTGGAGACATTTGGTCAGATACTGAATTGGTGACACTAATCTTGGGTGTCCATCTCGAAACTGTGTTGGTTGTACAGATCTTCTGTGCTGCTGGGTTGAAGATGTGTTTGAAGAATCCATGTTTTATTCTTTGTAACTTCTTTGCGGCAACATCCATGTTTAAAGCATTGTCAGCTGTTACAACTACATATGAGCCTGCAGGACATCGCTGTAAACTGTAACTGCAATTTGACTGGTTGGTGTAGACATACAACTGAGAATTGGTGATTCTAGTTCACTTAAGTAAGACTTTATATTCCTGTCCCCACTGCAGGTGTGTGCAAAAGGATTTTTCATGAGTGAGCAAAACATATGTTTGCCATGTAACTGCAGAGGCCATTCAGACTACTGTGAAGACATCACTGGCGTTTGTTATGTAAGTTTCCCCACATTGCTTATTTCTACCTTAATTATCTAAGTGAACAGATCACTTAAGTTCACTTCATTTCCATAACTAAAACATCTTTTAAATCTGTTTCTAACATTCTTCCTTTCAGAACTGCAGGGACCACAGTACGGGTGATTTCTGTGAAATGTGTGAAGATGGCTATATGCTGGCTCCCAGCCTTGACGGGCGCCACACCTGCCGACCCTGCGCCTGCCCCCTCTCTGTTGAGTCTAATAAGTAAGCCAGCCTGTTCGTGTTTCTGCAGCCACAAGACTCCATGTTGGCAAGATGTGGGTAATCTCTGAAATACTTTCCCTTGTGTGTCCGGCCAGCTTTGCAGTGCGCTGTGATAAGGGAGGTTCCATTCTGCGGTGCAAGTGCCAAGAGGGATATGCTGGACATTTCTGTGAAAGGTCAGTGCCGAGGAGACTTCAAGCAACCAATCAAGGAGTTGTATAAATTGCACGTAGCAATAATGCTGTCTGTGCACATTCAGTTAAAAATACAGTTTACTAACTGAGGTGGGGAAACTTCATGACAGAGTAACAAGCATTCAAGCAGTCCAAGATTTATTACAGTAGGTTAAAGTGCAAGCCACCATAGAATAACTGCAACATGTACCTATGTAGCCACTTTTACTGTGTGTTTCATCACTACTTAGATTGCAATTGTAATTTTTTCAACCCACACACATCAACAGTTTCCGCTAACTGATATGGATTTTCTAGGTTATGATTACTGTCCAATCGCTATGCAACCACTGAAATTGTGTGAGTCTGGAATCACTGGAATCTGAACCACGGACATCACGAGTGAGTGTGAGAAAAATTGCTTAAAGCAGAACTGACTGATAACAGACAACGCACTTCATCAGGTTTGAGTGCAGAGCCACAGATCAGCTGAGCAACATCTGCATGTGTCAGGCCTCTCTGTACAGTTTCCAGTACATTTTCCTCATTTCTGCATCACCTTCTTATCCTAATTTAGCAGTTTTATTTTGTGTATATTACCAATTCAAAGTCCTTTTGATTATTGTCCATTTATAATTTGATGCAGAAACACAAGACTTTGTGTTGTTGAAGTTGCTTAGAAACACGACTGTCATCACATCCATCAGTCACCCAATGTGCTGTCTCTGTATTTACTTGGTTGTTGAGTATGTGCTACTTTCTCACAGTTAGGACAAAAAAATCTCTGCAAGTTGGTGGAAACAGTCGTTACATGTGTTTACATGCAACTGCATAGAACACAATTAAATGAAAAAATCTTACCTCTTTGACAAAGCAAAGCATTTAGAAAAATGCTGCAAGTAAATAAAACATTTATAAAACACCACCTGTTTGATAACATGCTTCATACAAAAACACACTGCAAAACACCAGCAAACATAAAACGCTACAAGTAGAATGCAACACAAGAAATATAAACTCTTTCATTGCTTATCTTTTGTCCATTTTCTACTGTTTTCACAAGCTGTAGTGTGTCAAGCTCTCTCAGCAATGATAACTTGTACACATGTTGACCACATGTATATGACATCACGTTTGTAGTTCAGCCACAGGAGACACGTCGTCGTTACATGCCTGGTGCTGGTATTAGTCATGTCAGTCTCTCTTTATAATATCATTAGTTTACATCAATGTTCAACAACAGTATAAGTCAGAATCCATATGTGTGAACACAGAGATGGTGATTTGCTCTCCATTGGAAGCCTCAGTCCCCCAGAATGCATTGCTGCCACTAGACGATCACATTTTTGTGTGGCCACTTTGACATGTAACAAACAGCTGAAGCAACTAGTCGCCCCTTGTCTGCAGATTATTTTAAGTAAGGGTCTGCCTGGACCCTCAGACCCGAGACACAGTATAGGTTCATAGGGGTTCAGGTCCACATTTTATTATGGTCATTGGGTCTGGGTCCCCTTCTATTTTTGTGGGTCCTTATATACAGTAAGATTGATTAGAACAGTATGGTCCGATGTGATATTTATAGCAACTTTTTTTGTAGCAATTTTAATTACCGGCTTTGTCATGTCCATAAAATAGAGTAGAAATCTTAAACATGCACCAGGTTGGGTATAGATATTTTAAAAAATGTTTTAGGTCCAATCAGATCTCTGAACAAATTTCCCAGGTCCATCTGAGTTTGCATCCATGATTTTAGACCCATAAAGACCTCTAATTTAAAGTCATTATGGAAAACCAAACACAAAATCCATCGAAAGACTTCATCATAAAATAATTCCTGGTGTGCACCAAAACCAAAGCTGGATTTTTTTTCCTTGATATTTTCATAGTACAGTCAGTGGTATTGTCAGTCACCTGCAGTCTTTCCCCTCCAGGTGTGCTCCAGGTTACTATGGCAACCCAATGGCAATTGGTAATTCCTGTAAGAGATGCGACTGTAATGGCAACTCCGACCCCAACCTGATCATCAACGAGTGCCACAACGTGACGGGCCACTGCCAGCACTGCTGGGGAAACACCTCCGGCGCCAACTGTGAGAGGTGTGCTCCAGGTTTCTATGGCGACGCCATCAGTGCCAAGGACTGCAGAGGTGGGGGCAATGAGTGAACTCCTACATTCAAGATATGCTTGATCTATGCTTGAAAGACTCATGATGTTTAAGGGGAGCTTCCATGTGCAAAGGCTGGGCCTGTGAGGGTATTGTTGTTGTTTAATGTTCTGTGAAACCTGAACAATTCTACATGTGCCAACGACGAAGCTGGATGTATAATGAAGGCAAGAAAATTAATTTAGTTTGTTGACACAGCTGCTCTGGCTGACTTTTGAAAATTATCGTCATACACTAGTGACAGCAGTTCAGCATTCTCTCAGGCCAGTGTAGAACAGCACAAGATGACCTGGGATATTATGTCACACCGTGTTGGAGTCGTATGAATAGTTCCAAACTACAGGTTTGTTTTTACCACATATTCACTTGTATTTTAGTTATATCAAAATGAATATACGTATATGCAGCAAAAGATAGAGTTAGTTTTTCACTGTTATGTTTGTTATGGGGTGTATGTTTTCCTAAAACTGTTCAGTGGAAAAACAAGACAGCGTGAAAACTCCGGGTCCAGGATTACCTTATGCTTTTGGAGGCCCTGCAAGTCCAAAAATAGCCCTTTCCACCATGCTTGTGATGTCATTTGACCTCTAATGTTCTCATCATTGACTGTGCCGTGTGTCTGTTGCAGAGTGCGAGTGCAATGAATGTGGCACCTCTTCATGCGACGACAGGACAGGAGTGTGTCACTGCAAGCCGGGTGTCACCGGACGACTCTGTGACCAATGCGAGGTGAGAGAAACCACGTGACTCCGCCTACAGTTGTCCAACTGGTGTTTCCTCTGGGACACACAGGAAATCTCATGTGAAGCAGGGTTAAATGATAATTCCTGTTTATTACGGTGTGAGTCTTATTTCCTTGGTTTTGGTCATTCCCGTCTGTAAAAATAACTAATATATATATAATTGTTCATTAAATAGAATATGAACATGATCAGTCAGACCCAGGTTACCCAAAATTATCTAGAAAAGAAAACAGATAAGCTGTAAAAGTAGAAACGAATGAATTTGCTGAACTGCACTGCTGAAAATGTATAGTTGAAACATTTGAAGTAGTTTCAGGGGCTTAACATGTTGAGTCAACAGAGTGTTTAAACTACGAAAACAAGTTAAATTGTTAGAAGTGTTTGCACCTTAATCGGACAGTTCATCCCAAAATCAATGATATATATATTTTTTCTCTTCCCTATACACCTTGTTATGAGGAACTATTTTCTTTCTACCAAACCACACCCGCCAACCGTATCATTGCGCAGAAGGAAGTGTACATCTACTCATGCTCATGACAACGTGCAATGTAAAAATTAATGGTATGCTCCGCAGATGAACTGTAGGTTAGCTAACAGTACAAGAGCTGATATGCAAACACTCACAGCATGTAATTTGTAGTGTATGCATTAAAAGTAGTTGAACTGCAGTTGTCACCTGAAAAGCATTATTTGGAAGAAATAAAACTAAAATTATAAAAAAAAATGTAGTAGTAAACATCCAGCAGGGTTTACAGGCTTATATTCTGTCTCAAATTTGCTAACCACTGTTAGGTGTTAACCCAGTTTTCCTGTGCACTGAGGAACTATTATCAACACTAACTAGCACTAACTTGATTTCTATGTCCAAGTAAGGTAGTTTCAATAATTTGGTTGAACTGTTGGTGTACTGGCTGAACTGGCCCAGTGCCGGTTTCCACTGCAGTGTTTGTGTTTTCTTGTGATGTATTCTTCGGTTCTTCGGTGGTGGTAGTTGACAGAAACCTATTTATTTACTAGATTCATTTCTTATGTTTTAACATTATGTGTTGCGGTAAGAAACATAACACCTCCTGTGGTCCAAACACACTGATCCCCACACCTGTTTGTCTTTTGTACTTAATTGATTGACATGACCCATTACTAATTCTAAAAACATTGACTGCCCCCTTGTGGTGTGGCAGCAAACAAAAACACCCATATTGGCTCCAACAGTTGGTTTGTGACGATCTGTCTGATTGTCAGAGTGCTTGTGTTTCGTGCACTGCCTGACACTGTTGTAGCAATGTAGCTGTATTCATAGATCTCAGCAATGACTTAAGTGAGTGTGATGTTGCTGCCAAAGTGATGATGGCCAAAACTACCAAACTAAGACCCCAACTGTAATAGCCAAGACTTATCCTTATCCTTTCATCCGCCAAAATGACTATTTGTATGTCAGTTACTGACCTTATGTTACGTGTTTTTTTTTTTTCAAGAAAACCTTTCTCACACACCTGTGTTGAACGAAGAATCCAAAAACTAAGAAAAAGCGACCACATGTTGTAAAGCAAAAACTATATCAAAACATCTGTTTACAAACTCACACAACTTGTGCAGTATAATCAAAGTCTCATTTATCCAGTCCTGTGCTCAGCAATTCCCAAACACATGCAATTTTTAATAAAACATCACCACTTAAAACTGAACTGAAAGTGAAACTCTCTTCAAAGCCAGACTCCATTGACAGTAATTTTACCTTGCTGAAACCAGGAGCTGCTGGTCTACTGCTGCCTCAGTCATTTAGTTTTTTTGTGTTATTGTGTGAATTTGTTGTTTTAAAGTTTTGTTCTAATTCACCAAAGTCACACAATAACACTAACGAACTAGCGATCAAGGCAGCTGTAAACCAGAAGTTCACGTCTTCAGCGAGGTAAAATTACTGTGTTTGTCAAAAGTCTGGTGCCTTTGAAGAGCGCATGGATACATTTTACTTTTAATTCAGTTACCTGATGGAAAGGGAAGTACTGAGCATACAACTGGAAAAACGAGACTTGGATTATCCTGCATGAGTTGTGTGAGAGTTTGTAAATGGATGTTTTGATATTGTTCTGTTGTTGTTAAATGCAGCCCCTTTACATTCATCAATGATTTCTCGGTTTTTGGATTGTTCATTTCCAGTTCATGCAAGAAAAACTACTTTTTTTCTTCACAAATTAAGTAAGACAGGGTGAGTAATTGATGTACTGTATAAATGGTCATTTGGGGGTGAAGTATTACTTCAGCTGATGCACAACAATATGTTTCATAATGAACATGAGCAGCCAGATACTGGGATCTAACAATGTTTTTCATTCATGTAATCTAGGAGGGCTACTCAGGTTTCTCCAGCTGTCAGGGCTGTCGGAGGTGCGAATGCGGGCCAGCCTCCGTCCGCACCACCTGCCATCCCCTCACCCACAGCTGTCCGTGCCGCCCGGGGGCCGGAGGTCGTTACTGCGAGCGCTGTCTCCCAGGCTACTGGGACTACAGTCCTTCCGGCTGCCTGAGTAAGTCATCTGTCCGTCATACTACATGTCAAATGTTCTCTTGCTCTCTTGAAAAAAACCACCCCCAGACCATTTGTCGAAACATTCAATGCAGATAACACTTTCCCAGAGGAAAAGGCTGTGCTGAGTACTCATGTTCCCACACCCACTCCTACAGTAGTACACATGATGTCAGTGAAGCATCTGCTGAGAGATGTGACCCTGTGGCCGGAGACTCTGCTGAGAGCTGGATGACATCACTGCGCCGCCCGAATCTATACACACACTCAGCTGCTAAAAACATCAGTCCCACACAAGAGAGGCCACAAGACAGATGTGCAGGCCTCAAGCCAAAATACCATCTGTGGGTCTTTATATATGTTTGATTACTGCTCTGACCTGTATACAGCTGATCAACAATTTAGGCTGGTGTGCAGAACTTTCTGTCGTACCCTCTGTGATGAAGTGCATCTGCATCTGTTTTTTACAGAGTGTGACTGTGAGAGCGGCCACTGTGATATGCACACAGGAGAGTGCCTGCCAGAGGCTGCAACAGTCAACCTGTGCAACATCAGTGAGTGGACCTAACAGCTGTAGCAGAGACTCCACAATACAACTGTGCTGTAATTATCTAATCCACTTATCCTCTTTGGTTTTAGGCTGCGATGACTGCATTTGGCATCTGATTGGGGACTTGCGGTTGTCCAATAAAACACTGGACCACATGAGAGTCGGCGTGTTGAACATCTCCACTGGTGCTGCTGCCAACGACAGGATCAAATACTACAACTACACTGCTCATCGACTGCAGGTACATACACACATAAAAGAATAAATGCAGATGTGAATGCAACAACAAATAGAAAGACAACATGCATTAAGACAAGTTAAAGGGTAGCTAGTGGAGCAATGCACAATAATTCAGATCCATCCAGTCTAACAGTGCAACTGTTTTTGAAGGTTTCCTTTTCCTTGGTCTAATAAATGATTTAATTTCCTTTGCTCCCAGACTCAGTTTCAAGGCTGGAGAAACAAGTCCTCTGTGATGAAGGAGCAGACTGAGGAGCTGGAGAAGGCTGCAGATGATGTGGGGTTGGACATCAAACAGCTGGGGGAATCGGTTAGCTAAGCCATCATCTTTCCTTTAATGCACATTAACCATTAAAGCAAAGTCTCTGGAATTTTAAAGGCTTTAGAAGTTCAGGCCAATGTTTCTTTTCCCCTGGAAATACATGATGCATCAGCTCTTACCATGTGCATCACTGTGACAGTCAGATTAACTACTAGGCTTCTATACAGTATGACAGTCAAACCCTATACATTCTTTACACAACATAATATGGCTCACAAAATTGGATCTGACATGTTCCAATTACATGAACTCAATCTAATCCTTGTAAAAGACATCTGAGAGTTCCAGCTTGGTCTTTAGAAGCAAGTGACTTCACCCACTGATTGATGTGTCATTGATTAGTTTTTGTGGTGGTTTTCCAGGAGAGTGTGGTGAAGACTCTGGGGGACAAGTTGGATAATGACACGCTGGAGACCGTCACTCTGGCTGAGCAGCTCAGCACAAACCTCACTGATCTCAACACACGCATTGAAGGTATCAAACGGCTCTGGTTAAGTGAAACTGACTCTTTCGGTCTATCAGTGTCTTGTGCGTTTCCTGCAATCATGAACTTGTCCTGCTAGAGACAATAAATGCTACTGACTAGCTTTGGGGAGTTGATTCTGCAGGCTGCGGACAGTCATTTAAAACACATTAAATAAACAGCATCTTATCGTTTGACCGCTAAGTCTATACTTGCAATTTTGTTTAATATAAGGTTCCCTAATTCATCTCTGTGTGTTAATGTATGTGTGCAGAGATGATCCATGACTGGGAGCTGTACAGCATTCACCAGGAGGTGGATCCAGAGGTGGCCAGGCAGAACACTAAGGCGGCCCAGGGAATGGTGACCTGGATGAGGACACTGGATCTCTCCCCACGAGAGCCCATCGCCACTGATGAGTCGACTGAAGCCCATGACTGTGAGGAGACACGCAACTGTTCACAATGCACTAAAAGAGCACACACAGGCAGAAACATGCTCGACATGAAACTGTAATGAACAGTCGAACAATGTGGTTAGCTTCAGTAACAGTGCTAACAACAGCAACAGTGCTGACAGTGTTAATGAGGGCGACCTGAAAATAACTACTTACAAAACAACATTTTTGTGATTGTTTAGCCAGATACTGCCATACAGGTGGTGATCAGTCTGTATATCTGTATATTATTATTTTTGGTTTTCCACAATTAGATACTTTTATGTGTAAAACATACCAAGCCCACTGCTCTGCATTGCCTCAGTCTGAGTTTTTACAGTAGCAAGTCCTGAATCACTCAAATGTGACACTAATGATAATGTAATGTCTCTGATTGTATTTCCAGTGCTGAGGCGTATCCGTCAGTTGGAGAAGAAGTTGATGGTCACAGACGGCCGCCTCCCACCTGTCAGGGAGACCCTGTCCCGCTTCTCCACCAAGCTGTCAGACACTCAGCGATTTCTCCAGAAAGCAGCCAGCGCCGTCCAGGAGACTGAGAACAGGAACAGAGCCAGCATCCTCAAATTCCAGAGAAATGAGGTGATTTCCCATGACCCCCCAGACTCATGCTGAGTACCACTCCCTCCCTCTCTCATCTCTTCTCCAGCACTCCCTTCTTTTTCTGTGCTTGTCAGTATGGATACATGAGTAAACAGCCCTGTTAAAGAGCTCACAGCCCTTCCTCCCTGCTGTGAGGGAGTGTGCTGGCATGGAGTTCATCCTCTAAGTGCTGTCTGCTTTAGCTCCTAATGATACAAACAATGTTGAGTTTTGTTAAATTACACCGAGGTACCTGGCCCTAAAAGACACAAGAGGAGCCTATCCTTAGCATGCACTGCACATGCAAAAGGCTGTGAGAGAGAGGAATCTGGTTGTTGTTTGCCAGGCATGTCAGAGAAGTCTATTACTGGTGGTATTTAAGTGCTGAGAACAGAAACACAAAACCATCTGTGGGAGCTTTGGTCTGTTACATTAGGAGGAGGCCTGCACAGGGGGAGCAGCATTGCTGCAATACAACATTTTTTTCCCATGATAATATCCAGAGCCTACACACAGAAAAATAACTTTATTTCCCATGATACAACCCACAGCCAACACACAGAATCATTACTGTACAAGGGAGATTCATCTTAAACAAAAACACTGAGGAGCATTTAGACTGCCTAGCAAACATTACTCAGTATATAAGATAGATCCAGTATATATACAGTGGTGCGTATACGCAGATAAACAGCGTTTATCCCACCTCTGGGCAGGAGGATTTACCATATATCTTCTTTTAATGTAGCTAGAGCTCCATACTGAAGGCTATTAGTGTCTGTCTTACAATCTCCCAGTCAAAAGAAGTCCCACCCTGCAGGCCCAGTCTCACCAGTATTTTAGATGGCTGAAGTTTGTGGATGATCCATTTATTTCAATGGAATCCCTGCAATCTCTGGAATTCAACTTTGGTGAACTTTGACACACAAATTCTCACTGTTGACCAACTGCAAAATGTCTTGCCAGTGCCGACCATTGGGGGAATGGAGCATAGATGATAAGAGAACTCAATACAGTGTTGGAAGCAGAGCCCTATTCATTCCCTATGAAAGTTTCACAGAGGGGGAAGAAGCCAAACTCCCACATATACAATTACAATTACAGGCTACTTCCGGTTTAGTACTCCGCTAACTTGAATGGGAATAAAACAGTTCAATTGTGCAGCTCTTCTAAACTTTCCTAATGTTGTTGGACCGAATGGATCAAATTCTGATGGTGAAATGTGTCAATAAAATGTATCCACTGATTTATAGACGTCTCTTTAGCCATGTAAGTCTATGGAAAAAAGTCTTTTGGGACCCAAAAGCTTCATGTGACCGATGTAATTCCACTGTTTGGCCACTGTGAAATTTGGTTTCAATGCTTAGAGCATTTTCTGGGGGCCTGGAATGGAGTGCCTTAGGAATGAATCTTAAAACCTTGAAATGAATTTTGATTTTAGCACTCCCGGTTCCCTCGTCTTGAAGTCAATGGATTTTTTTTTTATTCGATTTTTAGTTGGATGCTTGAAATAAGGTCTGTGGTTAACACAAGCATTCATGTTTTGTTCTACAACATAAAATACATCAATAAATACCCCACTCATGACCTTTGAAGCTTTGTTGTGTCTTTAAAAATTGGCTAAATGAGACTACAGAACGTCATCATATCTAGCTGTGCCGAACATGGCTTTACAGTCTTGTTATGGTGGTGACTTAAGTTATGCGACTGTAGTGTAGTTTGTTTATATCCTCAGGTTAGCTTTTTACCTCTGGCGATGCCACTTAGGCTTCAATAATCATGAGAGTTGTGTTCATTTGTGAAGATCATCTTGCTGAACAAAACGTATCATAGAGTATCAGAAACATTTGTTTGCCACAGATCTTATTTTCAGCAATAATCCAAAATCCAATGGGAAAATCCCATAGGCTTTTTAGCAAAGGCTCAAGTGCGATGCTAACTTCTGTGTTGGCCAGAAAAATGTCATCCCTGGGGCACTCTATGGAGAGCTGTAAAGAAAGCTATTGTAGCTTATTAGCTGTATCTCACCAGCCACTTTTTTTAACGATGCTTTACTGGAATAGAAACTGCTCCACCAAAGGGGTGTGGGTTTTTTTTTTTTTTTTTAGTTATGAGACATCAGCCGGTGGTAGAACTTATTGGTCCCCTCAGCAACCAAGCTAACATCCTTAATACCTAACAGATAGCAAGCTAGCTAGCTCAGAAAGCTAATGTGGCTATGATTGAGACTGCCAAGCACTTAAGCAGTTAGCTTGATAGCTACAGTAGTATGCTACAGTAGGGGTTGCTCATATTGACAAACTTAATTACCACACTTTTTTTTGCTTTGTTTTGCAGCTGGCAAATGTAGGCTACTTTTTTGGTTTGGTCTCTCTGCTTTCGTCCACCTTAAAAGCCTTAAACCCACTTTACACAATCTGCTCAGCACCAAACAGCAAACAGACACAGTAGATACTAGCTGTTGAACACAGAGAACATTTTAGCAGCTGAAAAGACGGATATTTTTTTTTTCAAGAATTGGTTGGAAATAAAACAGAACTAAAAGAGAGGGAATATTAGACTGACATTTATTTGGATGCAACTTCAATGAATGTTAATGTTGCGCCATATCTACTGAATATATAGGCTACTGTAAATATTCTTCCTTACGTTATAATATTTTATGCTATATATTACTGCTGACTCTTTTCAAGAGCTTCCAAGTAGCCATTAGTTTCTATTCATGTCCATGTGGTAAAAAATCAACATGAAGAGACATAAAATGGCCTTTAATGTAGGTAACCCATCATAGGAATCATCATGTTTTTTTTTTATTAAAAATAAAATACATATAATGTAAAAATATTGTCAAAAATATTTTCCCACAGTAATATAGGTATAGTTTAATCCTCTTTTGGTGTATTACCTAACTAATACATGTCAGATGTGATGCTGACTGTGATGACCTGCAGTATCTGGGACAAGTTTCAAGCCTGTGTTCATACTGTAGTGTAAGATGTAGAAACCAGATGCTGTCTGGCAGGTAGAACACATAAAAACATCTAAACACATACACTGGAGAATGGTTTGCCATAACATCTATACCCATGATTTGTAATAAATGGGTTAAAACATACAAAAACAGTAGTCTGGACCTCCCAGTCCTTGAGTTTATTACTGTATTTTAGTGTCGTTTCCCCGGATCTGTAGATTTACAACTGTGTAAAATCATATGTGGTTGGAATTTGGATCGAGGAAGTTGTGATCCAGCCCTTACCGTCATGCCCTGGTTGACATTATGGGTCTGCTGTCCAGCAGAACAGCTGCTGCTGAACTCTGTGTGTGTCTGTGTTTGTGTATTTTTGGTTGCGCGTGTGTTATCAGGAGTGGGGATCTCCATGATCAGGGTCTCTGCTGTAAATCAATGCCATGAATGGTGCACTAACCAAACATGGAGCCTCTCCTAATCTGGGGCTCTTCCTCGCCTCAGCACAGACCGGTCGACACCAGCTGCAGCCGCAGTGTGCACACTGCTGGGTTACCACGGCCAATCAAATGATCTCATCATTGTGCCATACTCAGTCATGCAGTCAAATTAAAGGTGGGGTGTGGTTACTGTAAACCAACAACACAGACACTGCACCTCCTATAAGAAGAGCCTGCTTATTTAACAGTGTAGAAATGTATAGTATAACAAAACAAGAATGGCAAAGCAGCCTGAAAAGAAGTTTCTCTTCTTTTTATAAACGGTACCCTTTTGCTTTTCCTTTTTTTCGGTCATATACATATAATGTTACAATGTCAGATGCACATATGAATCATGGCCAAAGTTTCAAATAATGAGGCAAACATGTGTAAAAGTAATAACTGTAAGTAAAAAACCTCAGGCTCCAGACCACTATGAATACTCCGTTTCCTGTGGGGGGTTTTTTTCTACTTTTGAGGCAATTTGATGTCAGCTCTTGACTGAACTGCTACATGTAACTACATGCTAACATCAGGGAAACATGTAATCTTTGTTTCAGATGTTGTTAATTTTTCCATTATTTCATATCATATTCCTGCTGGAACATGTCCAGTTGTGAAGATTTGGGTTTAGACACTTTTATTGGTGATTTTTCAGAGTAGAAGTAGTAGAAAGTATTGCTATACTTTGTTACAGTTACATGTAGCTACATGCTAACATCAGGGAAACATGTAATCTTGGTTGCCCCTGTTAATTTCTCCTCAATTTCCAGTCATACTCCTGCTGGAACGTTACCAGTTGTAATATTTGGGTTTCCAAGCTTTTATTGGTGATTTTTGTGTTGCTATACTCTGTTACAGGCTACAATGTCGGTGTAGAGATGCTGAGAAACTGACATAGATGTATCACAATAATAAGATTGAATAAGATAAGGGATGGCAAGATGGCACCTACTCAGTTCTTTGGAGTTGCTTGCCTGGTGCATACGGCAAAAAAAGTTTCTAGCTTTTGAGTATACTCCTGAGGTATGCAGCCCACTGAATATGCACAGTAGTGTTTCTCATGCTGGCCCTCCTTTAGCAGACTAGCAGCGGTCCTGACTCCATTCATTTCAATTGGAAAAGTGAACGTGAGCACAGATTATGACCGTGTCCTTCACCCCATAATCACTGAAGTAAATATTAGACCCATTTTTCCACAAGCCAAAATGAGCATGAACCTGAAAATGAGCATAATAGGTCGCCTTTAAGTCTGTGTTAAGTCTACCATCCACTGTGTTAAGTCTGCCATCCACTGCACACCTAGTCAGACTAAAATTATTCTCCCATACAGTAGAAGAGTGAAGTTGTTTTAAAAGCTACTGCATATATCTCTGTATCTTCTCATCTAACTCTTGGCAAGGCCTAGGCCCTAGGATGCTACACGTGTTATTTCAATGTGATGGTCTCCCTTTTTATTTCATATTTATCTCTACAGTAAACCACTTCTGAGGCTTGAGTTGTGGCTAAATGTTATTATGTTTATTTTCTTGTGACCCCAGGCAAAGCAGCAGAGGCTGACAGAGGACCACACTGCCGTCAATGATACGCTGGAAATAGCCACAGGCTCCATCTCTGAAACAGAGATGACTGTGGCTGAGGTGGATGGTATGGTGCAGGTAAGGCCTACATGACTGTGAAGACCCATAATTGTCAGGAGGAGCCATGGTGGTTTCATATATACAGGTTAAGGGTGAGAATGGAAAAATCTATGGGTCCCTATTGTCCAATAATGCTCAGGATTTCTTTATGGCTCGCTGAATGAGGGAGTATGTCTCCTAATCTAATAGACTTTGATGTGGGGCTCCAATATCTCAGGGCTTACATGGAATTTATTCGTGAAATGGATTCCTGAGTCGAGCCTGTATCATATTCTAAAACTGGCCAATTCGATTTGGAAGCAATTTGTGGATTGCCAGAGATTGAATAAACTGTGTTCTCAAACAGCTCTCCCTTTTCAGTCAAGTAGCTCTCAATTGAGTTACACTGAGGGGAATTACAATCATCCTGCGGTAACAATGTTAGCTTGGTGATGTGTGTATGTGTGTGTGGGTTAACATACCTTGGGCTGACTTTGAGTAATCACAAGATAAAAAGAAATAAAAATGTGGGGATATTGGAGATTCTAGGGATGGGACCTAAATACAAAGCAGTGAAATGTCCTTGCAAATAGTGAGTGAAATGTCTGTGTGTCTATGTTTTACATCTGTGCAGAATGTAACTGAGTACCATGCAGCGATCGATGGCGCCAGCCAAATGTTGATGGAGAAGACTGAGCGTCTCTCGCTGGCTGACAGAGATCTGGTGCAGAGGGCGGATGACCACGCCAATGAGTTGGACAGACAGGCCAACCAGTTGGAAGAGTAAGACACCCTTCTAAATTAAGCTTATTGATTATAAATAATCAGACTCATAAAAAGACCTAAAGCAATAATACATTAGTATATCTCTCAATACCTCTCTACCCTGTCCAATGCACTGAACAATATAAACCTTTGAAAATGAAACATACCCTCTTTCTTTTTTAAAAAACAAAAAAAAGGCTCAGTAAAATTCTTAAACAGATTGGCACTGTAGTTTTTAGAAAACTGTAGATGAGTACTGTACATGGTGCATTTGTCAAGTATTATTTTCAGCTGCGGATTAATACACATTTTGTGTACTAGTGAGTATTTATAAATATATATATGTCATATGGGATTAATTCAAAACACATGACAGTGTGTATGACATGTATATGAAAAAGGGTTACAGGACCCTGAAACTGAAGCAGCTAAATAGAATTCAGCCATCATTAATTGCATTATCTATGCCTGTGCTTTCTGGCTGTCTCATGCCAAGATGTCTTGTGATGTACTATTTTTGCTACCACTACCATTTTCATTTTTATTTAACTCATTGGTGAATCTAAAGATTACGTGACAGTGAAGCCATCCTGACTCTGAAGAAAAAAAAAATCTTATTCACAAATACTCAAAGACAACTTAAAGATGCATGAATTCACTTTCCACACTAGTTAATTGCTAACTTTAGAGATTGGTAGTGATGGCCTCATGAAACCTCATGAAGCATTTTCTTTATTTTCTGAGCCCGCTAGATGGCACCCTTGGTTTAAAGAGAGGCTCAAAGAATAGCAATTCAGTGTGCTTTCAACCTTTTGTTCAACAAAAAGTGCCATCTAGTGGGCTCAGAAAATAAAGAAAATGATTCATGAGGCTTCATGAGGCCATCACTCCCGACTGGTTACCGTAAGGTGGGTTTATCAGAGCTTTTTACCAATCTGTTCCCATGGATTATTGATGTGTTTGCATAGATTTCCACTTCAATATTTGTTTTAAACCATATGCCCCCTGGGGGACTCTAGTTTTGGTCTCTTCCAGAAAAAAATTAGCTCTTTAGATGCTAAACACTCCATGAGCTAGTTGCTAACATTGTCTCTTAGTTGGTGCTGGGCAGGTAGTGTACAGTCAGAGCTGTTTTGCTGAAAACTGCTGCATGCTTCTCAGAACAAGGTAAATGAGAGCACTGGGACCAAATGTGTGTGGGTTTGTCACTACAAACACCACCTTTCACATTACACTAAGTCATTTGATCCATTGTCAGTTTGAAAATATTGATTAGTGTAGCTTTAATTTAATATGATTTCCATTAGCACTTGGGATTTTTGATGCTCTTACAGAAACAGTTAAATTACCATCGACTGTAACAATTCTGTCTCCACCAGTGATCTGAGAGAGAGTGACGCCAACGGCTTTGTGCAGAAAGCCATCAGTGCTGCCAACGTCTACAACAACATTGTGAAATACGTCGACGACGCCAATATCACCTCTCTAACCACCCTCAACTTATCCCAAAGAGCTGAAGATGTATGTTATATCACAAAAATACACAGCACACATCCAGTGTAATGCCTGTCGACATTCTGTAGCTTTGTGATGTGTTCTGTGTTTTAGGCCATCGCCGGGATCAACATGCAGCTCGGGTACCTGGTGACGCAGAGCGACAATGTTTTCAAGGAGTCTGTTTCATTACATTCAGAACAAAATGGTATGGAGCTGTCACAGAATAAGTTATCAGTTATTTCACTGTAATGTTTCAACTATCCAATGTCCCTTTGACATTTACTTTGTCTCCCTGTAACAGAGGTGGAAGCAGAGGTCATTGACAAGCTGAAATACATCGAGGAGACCAAAGAGACCATGGATAAAAACACCAAAAAACTTGCAGAAATAGTTGAGGATATCAATGGAATTCAAACAGGTAAGACAATACTTTGTTATTTTAAAGTAACACTGATGTTTTTCTGACAGACAGTTGAGAAAATCTAATTTGATAGCTATGAATTTACTACAGAGAAAAGTCTAAGGTGTGTTTGGGCTGGCTTAGCACAAACACTGGAGGCAGGGGGAAATCGTTAGCTAGACAGAGCTTCCCAGCAATTTTTCATGTCAACAAGTATAGCCACTGTCAGACTGCTCATTTAAAAAAAAAAAGAGAGAGAGAGAAAATCAGAATTTCTCATGTATCTAGCTGTATTTAGCTTTGCAGACAGATGTGGTTTTGTTTGCTCAGGTTGTAAGGTATGCCATGTGTCTGTTTTTGGTCATTTTAAGCACTGGGATTTAATGACAGCAGGCTACTTTTCCTACACCTGTCCCCTTTTCGCCATCAGCTCAGTACTTTAGATCTTGACATGTCAGAATTTGCTCTTTGTCGCCCTCTGTATCCATTTCAGACAGAACACCACAGCGACTGGAGTTTACCTTGGAAGTGGCTGAGGGGACACTCAACCGCTCAGCAGAGGTCCTTCAAACCATCACCCCAATTAGCACCAAGGTGGAGGAGTGGGCCAACAACATGAGAAACAATGAATACTCTACAGCTGCTTATGAAGAGGCTGTGGTGTCTGCTGGGGAAGCAGGTATCATAACTGCAGCAGTGTTCATGGCCACCCCATTTGGATGTTATCAGCCAATTAAATGGCTGTTATCTGTGGCTCCATAGATATGGTGCTTGAAGGGGCCTGCCACAGCTACTACTAGCTTCAAAGCCCATTATTAGCCCATTTAACAGACATTTAAATATCCAACGTTGTGAAACAGCCACAGTTTTGTTCAGTTTCACTTTCACTTCCATTACGTTTAGGTGCAAAAACTACGTGTCTAAGTTTAAGAAAACATACCATGGTAGTTCAATTAAAACAAACATCTCTGGTTAAAAAAAGTCAGTGTTGACTTTTGGTTGCACATGGGGCACAAACCCCACTCTCCTGAGTGACAGTCCTGTGTTTGTTTGACTCATCCACCAACCGTCCCTCCCACCTACCACAGACTTTTTTGCTCTTGATACTACTTCACCTGACTTCCTGCTTTTAGGTTGCTGCCTAGCAATTATCGTAAATAGTCATTTTATTGCCTAATAATGGCCCTCCGAACCTACTAGTAGGTGTGGCAGGCCCCTTATAAACCATATCTATGGCACAGATAACAGGCATTTAATGGCCTAGTAACAGCTGAACTGGCTGTCACGGCAGCACATACATGTCTTGGATATTTTAAAGATCATCTGTGGAAAATTACAATTTCTTCATACCATATGGAAGTCACACCAAAACGTATTAACCCTGTTAGTACTTTCCTCAGTTTCTTTGTATATTTTGAATTCTTGTTTTCGTCTTTTTCAATGTACCTCATAGTGGAGAACCTGAACGTACTTGTTCCTGAGCTGCTGGACAAGCTGAAGGTGGTCGAGGAGAAGAAACCTGTCAACAATGTGACCACCAACATCATAAGGATCAGAGAGCTCATAGCCCAGGCCAGGAGTGTGGCCAAGAAAGTTAGTTCATCATTTTGAACATGCTTACAATATGGTCGATTTAGGACAGTCAGTTTTAGACCTGTGTCCTATTTACTTTCCATCAAGAAAGCATGCAAAGACCACATTATCACAGCCTCATGAAAGCTTATATATAGACATTGTCACTATTTCTAAAGGTAGCAACTTGCTGAAAATGCCCATATCCTTTTTTTTTACTGCACACCTTCTGTTGACAGTCAACCTTAACCATTACTAATATTCAGGGCTCTGACCACACAGTGAAATGCTAATACTGTAGCTTACAGGGACTTTTCCTTCTTTGAATATTCAACAGTTTGACTACTGTACCTTTGCATTAAAATGTATGGCACAGAAACAGCTCCTCATGCTGATCTCAATATAAGCTCTGAGTCATTCTGATTTTTCTTCCCCAGGTCCAAGTGTCCATGAAGTTCAATGGTCAGTCCTCAGTGGAGGTTCATCCTCCCAGCAACCTGGAGGACCTGAAGACAGTGACAACTATCAGCTTGTTCATGAGAGTGGACCCTGACCAGGACCCCATAGAGGATCGCTTCATCTTATATCTGGGAGACAAAAATGTAAGGAATCCAGAGAAAACAAATGCCTTTGCTTTGCCATATGGGGTATTCAGATACTATAAAACAAATGCTTACCAGGAGGAATGCTAAGAGGGCACAGATGGGAACCATAAGTAAGAGCACTTGTGGGGAACAACTAGGCATGTACATTTAGCTCACAACTCTAAAAATAGTGCAGTCATTGTTCCCTGTTGTATGTGTGGAATAGATGCTAGTTAGCAAGGAGTTTTTAGGGTGGGTATGTGGCCCAGATCTGCTGCTGAAACTTCACAAACTTGCACCCAGAGGCCCAGGGCAAAGATAAAAGGCAGAGAGCAGCTTGTGGACATGAATAGTTTGTTGTGATCGTGGAGGCAGGAATGACAGGCTTTGAAAGTGCACAGTTGCCCCTTTCAAAAGGTCTCTAAGAGACGCCCATGACAATAGTGCATGTGTGTGCCTTCAAAGTCGGAGTTCATTTACATAAAAACCGTTAGCCCCCGTCCGCCGGGGCACAGAAACTGTGCAGCTATCCAATGTGAGGCCACTCTGTTCTCTTTAACCAAACTTCACCTTGGTGATTTCACTGCCACTGTAATCTATGCAGTGCTGTTTGTCTACGGCTTTTCAGTGTTAATAATAGCCTCAGCGTGAGCACTAAAGGCAGTCTCAAATGAAGGATGTTTATGTTTTTGAAACCACTTTACTTCAAGGTTAAATAGCATCAGATATTCTCATGTCCCTGTTGGAAACTCAAGCTGCGGTGGTAAGATGACAAAACAAAGGCTGTGATGGGAAAATGAACAGGGTATGAACTCAGCATGAGGTTTTTCTGCTGTTTTTGCTCGCAGGGTAGGAAAGACTACATGGGATTGGCTATCAAGAATGACAACCTGGTGTACGTCTACAACCTCGGGGGTGAAGATGTTGAGATCCCATTGGGTTCAAAGCCTGTCAGCCAATGGCCTGCAGTCTTCAACTACATCAAAGTAGAGAGGTAATATCCATTGGTGAACTTCTGGTGTAAACATTGGGCTTTATGCATGAATCACTGGTACAAACTCATTCAAGTAACACATACAAGAGACTAAGGATGTTTCATATCCATATAGTATGATCGATTTGTATTGTGCTCAAGTATGACTGCCTTATCAATATACAATTTTATGTTGCCGCTCGAGAGCGCCACTCACAAGATCCCAAGTCTGTACCATGCAGTCCACCTTTGCATTGTGCTTACTGTGTTAATATTTTGCAGACATTGTCAACATGACTGTGATTACCCATGCTCCTTTGTGCTCTTTGCTTGCAGGCTGGGCAGACACGGAAAAGTCTTCCTGACCATTCCCAGCCAAAGCTCCACAGACGAGCAGAAGTTCATCCAGAAAGGAGAAGCTCCAGGCACTGACTCACTGTTTGACATTGACCCCAAGGACATGGTGTTCTTTGTTGGTGGTGTCCCACCAGATGTCAGGGTAATGCCTTTTACAAACATTCCTAAATACAAGTAAATCCTTATTTAATCATCTTTTTTTTCCCAAAATGATGACGTGTGTTTTTTTTGTTTGTTTTTTTAATTTAACCAGCTTCCACCTCCTCTGAGTCTTGCTCCTTTTGTGGGCTGCATCGAGCTGAGTTCACTGAACAACGACGTGATCAGTCTGTACAATTTCAAAGAGACTCACAAGATAGATGTTACTACATCAACACCATGCCCCAGGTACAGTATCCATTTGCATGGATTAACCTGTTATAGGGCACAGGGTCAAAATTTACTGCTAGGCCCCTACTGACCCCCTCATCTCCAACTACCACTCACTTTGCAATATGTATGTGCCCTACCACCTCAAATTCCAGACTATAGAATTAGTTTGTGGTGACAGGATTAAACACACTTTATTTATGTGTGTGAACACTGGGCCTCGTTCACAAATCTGTGCTAAAATCGAGCACTGCAACATTTGCTGTGGTGATGATGGCATCTGCAATGATGGCCATGAATTAGCTTCTATCACAGTGTGACACCACAGCTAAGACAGGAAGCAGCAGAGACCTGGGCCAGCCTGACAACAGCACTGCTTTCTCCATGACATGCCTTTAGTACCACCCCCTTGAACTTGTTTCGATCAGGATTCTTGGAACCTACCTAGTGAAACAGTCACATTTCCATGAGTTTTGAGTGGAACCATTGTAATCACAGATGCATTGCAAAATGCACAATGGAGTGTGCATACAGGAGATCACACTGATTACCTACAAGCTTTTGTTCTGTTGTCACAGACATTTGTTTTTTGCGGATAAGAAGACGCTATTTCACTTGACCTCCCATTGTTGCCTCCACTCTCTCTTTCCAACCTGTAGAATGTGACGTCATGTCACAGTTCACATTTCAGGCTAAGGCAAACCTGCTAGTTTTTGGTTCTAGCTGGGAACCAACTTTTCAGGTCCTGAACTAATTTATTTTTGGTCTAAATGTTTTCTGAATGTTTCATAATTAGGTGCACGAACCAGAACAGACCTATTTTATGTTGGTGAAAAAGGAGTATCCGCAAAAGTATTTCCATCTATAGAGAAATGGGGTGTGGCAGTACACTGATTGCAAATAGCGGTCATGCACATGTCAGTTTAGAATGACTCCGACTCATTAGTATATGCATGGCAGTAGGAACAAAACTTAACAATAATGTAACGTTAATTTTGGATGCTTGCTTATTTTGTGCACAAAGTATTTCTATACACATATGAATGAAGTAGGCCCAATGTGAGCACATTATGTATTAAAATGATTAAGCTTTCAAAATTAGATTTTGGTGCTTAGTTGATACTGTATTCTAGTGGTGCAATTTCCGTAACAAATTAGCTATCACCTCAATTAACAAAACCAATTGGTATTCAGTAAACCTGGCACTTTTTGCCCCCCCATAGCTGTTGCCCATTTTCCCTGTTTGGGGAAGATATTGACACATTCTGCATTATGAATTTATCACGTGGACTGTTTAAAAATGTAAAAAGTATCAAATAACATTTCCTCTTTTATTTTCAGGTACAAGTTGGCATTTTCCCAGAGTCGTATTGCCAGCTATCTGTTCGATGGAACAGGCTACGCACTCATCAATAATATTGAGAGGAGGGGCAAATTTGGTGTTGTCACAAGATTTGATATTGCAGTGCGAACTATTGCAAACAATGGTGTCCTCTTCCTCATGGTCAATGAGGTAAGTCTAAAGAAAACTTACTATTTGATAAATATAATGACTCAGGCCTGAGATGCTGAGTATCAATGGATGAAACAATTTCACATGCTGTACATTAAAGAGTGTATTTTATCATGGTGTATCACATTTTCTTCTTTCTAGATGCAAAACATATTTAGTTTTCATTGTTCAATGCAGCTAAAATGTCACAGGCAAATCCTAATGTATTTTAACCTCTTTTTTTCAGGATAAATTCTTCCTTTTAGAGTTAAAGAATGGCTTCCTGCGCCTAATGTACGACTTTGGCTTCAGCAAAGGGCCACAACTTTTGGAGAATAACTTACCAAAGCTGCAAATAAACGATGCAAGATACCATGAGGTAGATTCCTTCTTTTTATTTAGCTGATTAGATAATTTAAACTTAAACTTGTGAATAAGTTGCTGTAACTGTCGTGTTGGGCCGTTTGCACAGGTGTCAGTGATTTACCATCAGTCAAAGAAAGTTATCCTACTGGTGGACAAGAGCCATGTAAAATCCATGGAGAATCCAAAAACCACACTGCCTTTCACAGATATCTATATAGGTGGGGCTCCCTCAAGCATTCTCAAATCCAGGTGAGTTGAAAATGCTTGTGAACAAACATATTTCACTCAACAGAACAGACATCTGTTTTCTGTTGCACTGCGTTTATAGACCAAAACACTCAAAGTTGAACTGGGTATCACCTTTTGGAATCCTCATGTCTTGGCTGAGAGCAGCCTGTTTCATTTTCGAAAAAATTCAACTTCTCTGGATGACACAGTTGCTCGCTGACATTAATGCTGCATTAACTGATTTTTCCTCCACTTGTGGGCCAGGAAACAAGCTGTAAACACGTACTGACATACAGTATATCACCTCATAAAACCAATATGGCAATATAAGAGCAAACAGATGTCATTTACACATCCAGCAGACACACTTCAACATTAATATTCATTTTGTCTCTGGCCACCTGACAAATTTGAGTCCAATATTTACTCTTACTCTTTTATGGGTCTGAACCAAACCTGAGAAAGATGTCTGCTCTTTGGTTGTTAAATGTTCCCCTATTTCCCCAGCCTTTTCACTGAGGACACTGATCACTGCTGCTGCCCAGTGTACACTACATGCCCAGCATCAAACAGCAGATATACATAGTTGGCAACTAGCTCGCTAATCAGAAGCAGAACATCTAGCAGCTAAACACCAAATATTTTCTCAGGGGAAAGTGCAAACAGCACTAAGGGGAGATATCACTGGAGTTACAGTTGACAGGTGGCGAGAAATGACCCCAAAGGAATGTTGCTCCATGTCTGCAGGATGTAGTAAATCACCAACTATTTGCTAATACGTTAGCCATAGCTATTTTATATGGTTTTGGCCTATTATTGTCAGAGGTGTGTTTTTTAAAGAGAAAGTTTGGATTTAACTTAAGAGTTTCAGCACACTGGTGTAGTAGTAAGCACCTTCATCTCACAATAAGAGGTTCCTGGTTCAGACCCATTGGCCCCTTGGTGCCCTTTCAATGTGGAGTTTGCATGTTCTCCTCGTGTCCTGTTTTCTCTGGGTTCTCTGGCTTCCTGCCACAGTCCAAAGACATGCAGATTAGGTTAACTGGTGACTCTAAATTCAGTGTGAATGCATGCATGAATGGTTGTCTGTCTCTTTGTGTCAGACCTGTGATAGTCTGGGTGTACCCCGCCTCTTGCCCAGTGTCAGCTGGGATAGGCTCCAGCCCCTCTGTGACCCTTAACAAGATAAGCGCTAATGGAGAATAAATGAGTTTCAGCAAATGACATTTCATGTTTGTGAAGAGACTTCTTTGTGGTAACGACACCCAAATTTGACACAAATAGGTGACTTCCAGTCTAAATATGTATAAAAACTGTATAAAAAAGACATTTTTCTCATGCTGCCATATTGCAAAGCATGAGAAAAATGTCTTTTTTATACAGTGGACACCTTGTCTAATGCAGCAAAGAATTTCACTATAAGATGGTGACAGTATGTGTCTCCCCACAGGCCTGAGCTGTCTGCTGTCGTAGGCCTGAAAGGTTGCGTGAAAGGTTTCCAGTTCCAGAAAAAAGACTTCAACCTGCTGGAGGAGCCTGGCACCATTGGCATCAGCAGCGGCTGCCCTGAGGAGTCTTTTGTAAGTGCTCCCTTCAACACTTCACACACTGTCAGTGATAATGCACTGCATAGGACCCTCTAGAATCAATGCCAAATACATATATGGATGAAGAGTAGTCTCACCATCAGTAAAACACACATCTGCACACAAATCTTCAATCTCAGCTGAGAGAAAATAATTGGCTGTTTCAACTTTCATGTGAGTCAATCGATATTCCCATTGGGGATCACTGAACTGTAAGCTGAACAGATAGTGAGAGCTAATAGGTGCTGAAAGTGAGATGTGTTATTATTGTGACAGATGTCCCGTAAAGCCTATTTCAGTGGAGAGGGCTACCTGGGATCCACAGCAAAGATTTCACCCTTTGACAACTTTGAGGGAGGACTCAACTTCAGAACACTACAGCCCAGCGGACTCCTGTTCTACCTGAGTGAAGGGGTATACACTTACCTTTGTTTTTAAACATACGAAAAAATATATATAGAATGCAAAATATGGAATTGAAAATTTGAAATGGTTGGGTGGGCAAATTAGTTTTGCAGTTTCAATAGCTTGATTTTGGGTTAATTGCAAGTATCATTTTGCCATAAAGAAGACAAATCAAGAATTTACCTTGGAAATACAAATTTGTAACTGTGCTATTACCTTATTTTCTCCCACTTCAGTCTGATGAGTTCAGCATCTCTATGGAGAATGGAGCCCTGGTGCTGAACTCCAGAGGCACACGAGTTAAATCACACAAGAAGCAATACAATGACGGAAGGACGCACTTCTTATTGGCCTCCATAAACAATCAGAAGTAAGTACTCAACTTCATAACTGTCTGTTATGCACAACCGTGTTGGGTTTTGAGTGTAGTCATCTTAACATCCTGTTTCCTCTCTCCTGTATGACATTAGACTTAAATTTAGACACGTGGACAATGCAAAACTCAGTTCTCTATCTCCATTAATTAAATTCAAAGATTGTTTGATTGATTAACCTATATAAGCATCTGTGTAAAGAATTATTTTTGATTATAGAATGTTTCACTTTGGTCTACTTGCATGTTACTTGTTTGTAGGAAAACTAGAGGCTCCCATTGAAAATGAACGTAGACTATTTGTTGCTTTCAGCCACCCATTTTCAATGTTAGCCTACTTAAGTTGAGTTAGTAGTGGTTATCAGCCTTATAAGCCCTTTTTAAACAGGAACTGTGCAAATTTGCAGGAAAGCCCAATCAGTCTTCTTTCAGCATTGGCAGTATAAAAACAAAATCGGGGAGTGCAGTAAAATGCCGCCTGCCTACTTTTGTTTATACAGAACGTGCCTTTTTCGAGGCAATGGGGGGCGTGAGCAAGTAACAAAATTTGTAGCTCAGCATGTGACATAAACAGTGACGTGGGAGGGAAGCCGCGGCTGGTCAGTCCTTCAGCGATTCTCTCGTAAGTCGGCCCGTTCTTCACCATTCCTGTCATCTGACGGTTAATGACCTCTTAGTTTGCGAGGACAAGGAGGGCGCGCAATTCCTTGTCTCCTCAGCTGCTCATCTTTATAGTGTCTGTCAGGTTTGCGTTTCCCTCTTGCTACAAGCTGCTAGCTAATTCCTTCTATCAGCTGTTTCCTGTTTATCCATCACCAGTGGGTCGCACATGCGGCGTCATCAACAGCTCCTCCCACAAGTCTTCAACAGCCCCTCCCAATGTGGAAGGCCATCTTTTTACACTAAAAGGGTTCCGCCAATATGACTACCCTATGAGGCGGAAAATTGGGCACCTCGGATCAACTCGTCAATCCGGCTCTGTGTGTCTAAACGCTCGCAGCTTACCGGCAAAACAGCCGCAAAACAAATCTGGCAGTGTAAAAGGGGCTACAGATATGGGTTAGAAGGGATAGGTTCAGAATGCCAGTATCAGTCCATTAAATGGTCCTGATCAGTTAGGAACAATTTTATTAAGTTTCACTTACTTTTGTTAAGTTTAGGCATCAATACTAAATGGTTAGGTTTAGAAAAAAACATCATGGTTTGACTTAAAATAAGTACATTTGTTAAATAACATGATGCAACAAACCTGCACTCCTCACTTAAAATAAGTCAGTGTTGTCTTTCGGTTTCATATGGGACATGAACCCGTCTCCTGGTGAAAGTCCTGTTTGTTTGACCCATCCACCACCCTGATCTCCTCCAAACATTTCGATTTTCTCGCTGTTTATGCTTACGTTACGACACCTGATGTCTTTCCTTGCTCCCTTCATAACAAGTACGACCACTAGAGGGTGCTGCCTCACAATAAACTCTGCCCTTTAATGGGCTGATAACTGTGTTTGAACCTACTACTAGGTCTATCAGGCCCCCTCTAACCCATATCTGTGAGGCTGATATCCACAGATGCACTTATTCAATCTAGTGGAAACATTTGGTTTTTCAGATCATTCATTTTCATTGCCCCAGACCCAAAGTAAGTAGGCAGTTAGAAAAGAAGGTGCACTGGTGGCCCAAGAAAACACTGTTAAATGGCTGACTGGTGGAACTGTTCACCCTAGGTATTCACTGTTGGTGGATGACAAAGACAAGCAGGAGAAGAAACGTCCATCATCTGCCACAAGGTCCTCATCAGGTTCTGCTATGAAGACCTTCTATTATGGAGGGACTCCAAGCAGTAGCTTCAGGAACTTCACAGGCTGCATCAGCTATGCCTACATCAACAGGTAAATCATCACTACAGCCTAGAATAAGACTAATTTATCCTGCAGGTTACACTGGGCCAAATTGCCCACTTAATATCTCTCCAGACTGTGACACAGAGCTTTATAATTGAGGATTTTGCTCTAGTTGCTCCTCAGTGTGGAGGCTCCCTCTGTGAGGAAGAGACTCACAAATAAAGCTGTGAGCTGAGTAGTTAAGGATATGGAGTTTGTTGCCATGGAGACATGCTAGTGTGTTGAGAGTGTCTCTGCAGCATGTTTAGTACTCTTGCACTCCCTCTCTGTCACTCCTTCTCCCTGTATCTCTGTAGACAGGACCGGGACATTGAGCCCGAGGACTTCCAGCGATACACAGAGAAGGTCCAGACCTCCCTGCAGGAGTGTCCAGTCCAGCGTCCCCCTGCTGCTCTGCTGTCAAGGAGCAGGGAGCATGCTTCTAGAGCCAAACAGAGCCAATCACACAAGGTAAAACAAAAAAGAGAGCTGGGACACTGGGCTTTTGGGATCTATCCTTTAATTTGGTCACAATAATTTCCTGACATTTAATAAACACTCTTATAGGCTAGCAGGGACAAATCCAGCCAACCTCTAGGCCTGATTGAACTGAGGAGTGATGACGAGGAGCCATCACAGCTGAACATCGAGCCCTGCTACCTCTCCTCAAGTCCCAGAGCGACCCGCCAAGCATTCCACTATGGCGGCATCGCCAACAGCAGACAGCACTACATAGACCTCCCAGACTCCTTCTCTGAGAGGTACGTCAAGCGGAGAACTCTTAACAAGTAACCCCAAGGTCAAGTTTGCTCAAAAGCTCATTCTGAGCATTCACATGCACTCTTTCAAGGGTTTCTCTGTGTTTGCACGCATGACTTAATGCACCTACCACCTCCCAGGTCCCACTTCTCCTTGTCCCTGAAGACGCACTCATCCTTTGGCCTCATCTTTTATGTATCTGATGTCCAAGAGGACAACTTCATGGCTCTCTTCCTGGCCCACGGGAAGCTTGTATACACCTTCAACGTAGCAGACCAAAGAGTCAAAATCAGGAGTGAGGATAAATACAATGATGGTGCATGGCACAATGTAAGTTCTTATTCCATCTGTCAATATTGAGTGTATGCATGGATGGATGCATGTTTGGTTATGTGTCAACAATTTCTACAGTGACAACCTCCTCTCTTCTCCTGCTGAAGGTTATTTTTATCCGTGATGGGAGTATGGGGCGGTTAATAATTGATGGGCTCACAGTGCTGGAAGACAGAGCTCAGGGAAGCAACGTCTCCTGGCATGTCAGCAGTCCACTTTATGTTGGAGGAGTTCCTCCAGGGAGAGCCCAAAAGAATATTCAGGTATGTATTTAAGTTTACATGGAAGAGATTTAACAATAAAAACATTCACAGCAGGGGTCATTTGAAACACATGAATATTCTATCAAGGTCTGCAGCTCTGAATAACAGAGTAACCTCTTACAAAGCTCTGTAATTTATGACCATTTGGTGTCTTCTTGAACATAAATATTCATACCCGCAGAAATCCACCTCTGCTCAGCTGAAACTGCTGTTCCCACAGACAGCAGGAAACCACCATTGTGACCCTCTCCCCCTTAGAAGCCAACAGGAGGTCATCCTCATTTTTTTAAAACAGTATTAATAGATTTTTTGCACTCTTGACAAAAAAAACTGTAAATGTGTACACAAGACATTGCATTACAATCAATGTTAAGTTGTTCTAGTTAATGTGCTAGCAAACAGTTGCCTATAAACCCATCCAGCAGACACGGAACAACATTAGCATTTATGTTTCTGTGCACCTAATGAATGTAATTTTAATTTTCACTTCCCTTTTATCTCTATGTTGGTCCCTGCCAATACCTGATGAAAAGCTTTGGCTCCTGAGCTGCAAAATTAAATCTAGCCAAATATTCCAATATGTTCACCAGCTAATTGCTAACTTTGTCTATGTGTTAAGCTAACGTTAGGCTATAGACAAACTACACCACTGTCACGTGACTTAACATCACCGCCACAGCATGGCCGTAAAGCCATGCTCAGTACGATGACATTATGTAGTCTCATTTAGCTACTTGTTAGCAACCGCCTTTTTCAAGACACATCAAGGCATAGAAATTCAAAAGTGGGGTATTTACTGATATTTTTTATGTCACAGAACAAAACGTTAAGGCCTACATTAGTGTTAACTACAAACCATATTTCAGGCGTCTATCCAAATACCCATTCAAAAAAACCATTGACACTGAGACAAATGCACTGGGAGTGGCAAAATGCTAACTCATATCTGGAATTTAGGACTTATTCCTAGGGTAGTCAATTGTAACAGAGGTCTATGAGAGTGACCCGAAACAAGTTAGCAGCTAAAAGATGGTAAAACGTTGAATTTGAGCTGAAGGAAACTGCAGAGTTGGTAATGACCCCTTTCACATCACACATTGTTGATATAAAAATATTGAATATTGCAGCTTTAAAGCTAGCTTATGTTACTTATGTGAAATAGTGGCCACCGTGACACTATTAGCAATTACTGGCAAGTGCTAAAATGTAGCATAACAGTAGCATCAGTAAAGGAGAGTCATACAGCCTGACTGAATATTGCTAATTAAATACCCATACCTATCCAAAGTTAGCTAAGTTTAGCTAACATTAGACACCGCAAGCTAGCTTACTGGTCATACTAGAATAAGAGTTAGCGGCAGAAAACCCCCTGAGTTTATTGGACTGAGCTCAACTTTATATTTGTAAAAGGAATTGACTGGACTTATTTCTTCTTCCAACTTTGACATCACATCAAGCTTCCTGTTATTTTTTAAGAATAATGTTTATTTAACCTAATGATATGCGTCCCCTTGTGTGTCCCTTTAGAGAAACTCTGCATACAGCTTTACTGGTTGTTTGAAGAACCTTCAGCTGGATGGGCAGTGGCTGTCCTCTGTGGCAGAGACCTTTGGGGTCACTCCATGCTTCGAGGGACTCTCTGAGGCTGGAACATACTTTGCAGAGAAAGGAGGATATGTTGTGCTAGGTACATTTCTAGTAGTTTGTTTTTTTAATTGAAGACAAATGGAGTTCCACATGTTGTATAAATGTAAAGTTTACACAGTGTTGATTTTGCGCTATCTTCCAAATTTAACACCGCATACATCTGGCAGGATCGGCAACTGTTTGCTAAGTGAACATCTGTTATATTACATGGCTCATTAGATTTCCTTTTGGAAAACTCCCAAGCCCCCCTGGTCTCTCTCATCCCGTGTGCACATAGAGAGTTTGGTCGGGTGAGGGAACGTGATACCCTCAGTGCAACTGTGGTGAAATTGTGTCTCTGCAGAGGGGGGAGAGCAGAGGATGGGGGAAAGTGGAGTGCCCCAAGGAACTTGTGAACTGAGCTGCAGCTGTTGTATGAGTAGAGCAATTTCATATGTGCATGCACCACAGAGAAACATGGCTGGTTAATGCAGGGAAAAGGTGAGGCCCAGAGTGGATAAGGTACCCAGAACTCACTTCATCTTGCTGTCTCTGCTTCTCTCCCTCAGATGAAACATTTAACCTAGGGCTCAGGTTTGAGCTGGTGATGGAGGTGCGCCCCCGTGTGGCATCTGGGGTACTACTGCATGTGCGCTCAGCAGAGGGCTATTTCACTATGTACATTCATCAAGGGGCGGTAAGTCATTGGTGCAGTTAACTTTACACATTTCCAATCAAGTTAATCAAACATGTTTGTTCTGTTCAAAAGTATGGAGACAATATTGATTTGTGTTTCCAGGTGGTGGTTGTTGTGAATGACGGGTCCCACGAGTTCTTCACAAAGGTGTCCCCTAGACAGGGTCTGTGTGCTGGCAACTGGCACAGAATCACTGGTGAGAATTTAATTAACACTCAAAAACCTTAAAAGAAATAATGAAATTGAAGAACACTTATTTATTCATTACTCTGATGTCTTTGTTACAATACATTTTTAAATGTGGTCAATATCTGATGCCACTACTGAAAGGACCTGCACATCCACAATAATTATCCTACATGTGTCACATTTGTGATGTTAATGTAAAATATATGTAAAAATCTATCTATATAGCACCTAGAGGTAACAAAGCATGCTGGTCATGAGGTGCAGTAGATGTCAGGACAGCCATTGTAAAGAAATCCAGATTGCTGTCACATGAAAGCTCTTATCTTATATGCTCCAGTCAGAAGCTTTGCAACAGTGATCTGTCAAAAGCATGAAATGCTGTCATTGCACAGCTTTGTTGGTGTTCTTTTACGGCTCTTAACTTCTAAGTTAAGTGGCCCCACTCAGCCCTCTCTAGGACAACTCAATCTCGCACACCATTTATGTCACTTAAAGTTTTGTGACTGTTAAAGGCTCAGTGTAGGATTTAGCGGCATCTAGCAGTGAGGTTGCATAAATGCAAATGGCCCTGTCTAGAACCAGTGTTTGGTTTGTCCGTTCTGGGCTACTGTAAAACAACATGGTGGACTCCGTGGGAGAGGACCCTCTCAATATGTAGCTATAAATGTCTCATTCTAAGGTAACGAAACATGATGATTCTCATTGTCAGAAGATTCTAAACTAATTTAAACATAATTATGAATGTTATTTACAATTTCTGCAAATAGATGCCCCAAAGTCCTCCACACTGGACCTTTAGGCAAAGATTCAAACCATTATTTAGTCTGGCAGCTCACTGTCCCATAACTGAGCACTTCCATAGCAGCTGTCCATCATCTTTTCTCAAGCACCAACATGAAGTCATCACAAATGTCATGCTGGAGTGACAGAATTTGCTTTGCATTTATTTGCATTGCCACAAATCAGTACAATCTGTTTCTACAGCTATTACTCTTTCTAAGTGATACCTGTATTTATTCAGTTTTACTGTTGGATGAGTCTGCTTTGATGTGTCTGTTTTTGCCATGCTGCAAGCCAAATATCACATGAAATATTAATTCAGTTTGTGTTCACACTGTAATTAAAACAGATCTAATCTACATATACAGATTTAAATTTAGATTTTGAAGTATGAAGTGGTGGACTAAGAACATTTACCCAATTTTGTAGTTAAGTGCAGTTTCAAGGGAATTGTATTTATTTTAAAGACTATATTGTCATTAATTGGTTAAAATGATTAAAATTTGTTTTATTTCAATCACAACATATTGTATTATCAATTAAGTAAATATAACTACCTAGCAGTATATATCTACAGTATATAGTATACTGTTGATATATACTGCTAGGTAGTTTATAGCCTATTTTTTGGTATATAGTGAATACTGAATGGTACTGAAATTAGATTCACCTCCACCAGCTACAATATTGAAGTGATACTCTAGTCCATAAAATTTGGGAACTATAAGAGACAGATTCAAATTTGACAGGTCAAACTGGAAGCAGAAAAGGCTAAAATGTCTTGAGTTGAGTGCCTAATATGGGTCGAGCTCCAGAGAGGTCCTACACTTCCCATAATGCAACTCAGTAGTGCCCATTTGACATGAAACTTGATATTCCATTGAGGCTTAATGCCAGTGTCTTTCAAAATCCATGCTCGTAGTTTGAAACACAGGCTTTGTGCCACAAATTTGCACTCCCCAAGTGAAAGTAAAGATAACACTGATGATGTCATAGTGATATCATCAGGGCTTTTAAAGCTCACTCCAGTGCCATAGAAGAAATTTGCAGCTGTTTTCACAGGCTGAGAAGCACCAACGGGGACCTTTTTCTTTAAGGAAGTAATGTTAATGTGTAAAATAGGTGAAGTGCCCCTTTAAAATTCTGTGTACGTGTTCATTCACCAACATTAATAATCCAGTAATGTAATATAAATATTACATTACTGAAATGGTTCATTCTGCTCAGTGAGTGCTTTTACTTTTGGCACTTGAGTATATTATTGTGATAACATGTTTTATTTTAAATAAACTTTAAATACAAGACTTTTACTTGTAATTAAGTAGTTAAAGGTGTTGTATTGCTTCTTTTCTTAAGTTAGGTAAAGTTGTTTTTTTTTTGTTTGTTTTGGCTACACTGATGCATTCTGTCCTGCTTGATCTCAGTGATCCGGGATGCCAACGTTGTCCAGCTGGACGTGGACTCTGAGGTCAACCATGTGGTGGGACCTGTGAACCCCAGTTCCACTGATACCAAGAAGCCTGTGTTCATTGGTGGAGCTCCAGGTGAACCAGGAACACATTTCTGATTTTCTTTTTCTTATACTAAAATTACACTTTTCTAATCATGTGATGCACTCTTCCTCCTCTCAGATCTTTTCCTCCCAGAGAGCATCCCCACCAAGGAAGCCTACGTGGGCTGTATGAGGAACCTGACCATCAGTAACAGCCAAGTGAGCTTCAGCAAAGCTGTTCTGGTCAGTGGAGCTGTCAGCGTTGGAACCTGTCCCGCAGCATAACACCTCTGTCCATACCATCACTATCCCCAATACAGCACTGACCAAACACATTAAAAACTCTCTTTCTGTTCAGCGTAACCATGAAGAGAAGTATTGCCACTGTTATTTTCACTGTCTGTCAGATGTTCGTCTTTACTTCTTTCTTTTACTGTAATTTGTCATTTCTTGTTTACTGTTTTGCGTGAGAAACATGCCAAGAATACGACCAAATCACTCAAATTTACAAATAATCAGAAAAGAAGCCCATGATGTATGAGAGAAAATGTCCAGATTTACAATTCAGAACCATTCTGAGGAACCTACAGTGTACCTATGATTAGATTTCGTCTGTGCATAATATCAAAGACACATTGATCTTAATACATTTTATATTTCACCATCCCACAAAACAATCACAATGGCACATTTTTTGTATAAACACCTGCTCAAAACTTTCCTTTTTGTACTGTTCAATTTCTGATGAATAAAACATATTTTACATCCATGTAATCTTTGCTTCTTTCTTGTTTATCTTCACAATATCAACTAATACAGAAAATGTATCTGTGGTTTTAGTGTGGATTTGGAATGTTGGTTAGATTGTTGTTACACCAATTACACTTAAACAGAGCTGCAACATGAAGAAATTATTGGCCATACATCATCTATAACTGTCATAGTGAGCTATATTATTTAACAAGATGGACTCTGCCATTTTATAACACCATACTTGAAAATTTCTTATTCAGGTGGTCCATTTTCCTGTTGCAAGATCTATGTCTACTCTATTATTTGTTCATCTTTGTCTGTCTGTTGCCACCTGTAATAAATATGGAAACACTGCCCTCTACTGTGTATTAAGTTGATTTTCCCAGCCAAATAGGCAGTAGAAGATGAAGGAAAACAAATGCAAGAAGCTGAGAAACGTGGAATATGATAATTTGGTTTTACACAAATAACGTTAATTTTAAATCAAAATTAACTTTAATAGAATGAATAATTTTCCTCGTTTGTCATAAACAGGCAAAGTTAGAGTGATGTTTCTTTCCATATGCTTTTAAATTGGCACATTCTACAAAAATATAACTTTCTGAAGCCGTTTCATTAATTAAACCAATGACAACCCTTATATTTATTTGGAGAGCTAAAGAGATGAGATAAAAACAGTACCTCTTGGTGCAGCAGCATACGTCCTCCATAGCAACATGCGTCGTTTCCATGGTAATACGTCATCAGCACTCGACCAAACACAGTCGAGGCGCGAGACTAAAAAGCGTTCAAAAGTCATTTCAAAAACTCGTTTTAATGGCTAGTTATGGACAAATATTATTATCAATTATGGCTTAACTCAGCGTTATAGAGGGCTCTGTGTGTTGCTGCTGTCATGACGCAGTCAGTTGTCGTCCAAGGTGAGTTAAAACTCGAGTGCAACTCATTGAGCAGACGGAGTTAACGTTAGCATCCAGAGGTGAGCTAACAGCTAGCTTAGCTGTCATTTGCTGTGTTGTGATACTGTAGGTAGCCACGCTGTTAGGTGAGCTTTATGACTGAATATAGGACCTGTCGGCTTGTTGGTTTGGTTTAGAGCTGATTTAACGCAGGGCTGACACATGGAAACATTTCTTTAACCTATGATAACTAACATAACTAACTAACTAAACTTTTAATTCGTGTTCCTCAGTTGGTCAGTGTGGCAACCAGGTTGGCTGCAGGTTTTGGGATCTTGCTTTGCGAGAACATGCACATGTCAATAAAGTAAGTGCTAAAACACACACAGTACAGCAAGGGCACTCCAAGCTGAGTAACTCACGTTACTGTCATCTACATTACATTTGCTTAAGATGTATTTCATAAGGACCACAACAATAGGCTTTTTTCACTTCAGACATTTTGACATGACATATCAAGAAAGGCATAGGAGTGATTAATAATAATAATAATAATGATCGATGAGTTATTATGCGTTTATTTATTTATTTTATTGGGACTCTTGTATATATAGTATATTACATTCACACAATTCACACAGTTGTATAATAAGGTAACATGGTTATGTGTGTGAGATCCACATCCTCACCAGCCCCTCTCCTCAGCTGTTCTCCCTCACATTTACTCCCACACATCCCCTTTTCTGCCAGGACTGAAAATGAATATGCTACTGTGACCACTATATACCCAATATACTGTAGTAGACAATAGAAGACTTAAAGATATATACTTATTTTTCAAGTCACAGTTTTCGTTCGTTTGTTTTTTACTCAATACACCTTTATTATACGTCATATTCCAAATCATACCATGATCATTAGGGAAATATTTGAAACATCATTTACTGTGTTTTTCTCACCTTATGGGACTGGCATAAAATGAAAAAAATACTGATTTTGATAAGTGATTAATCATTTCAGTTATCAAACACAAATGTTTATGCTGGCTCCAGCTTTTCAAATGTGAGCATTTGCTCTTTGTATTTTTTTTATATTATGGTAAATGTAATATCTTTGTATTTTGATTGTGAGAAAATGATATTTCAAGATTTCAACTTAGGCCTCTGGGAAATTATGATGAGCAGTTTTCTGAAATTGTGTACACCAGTTATTTATCAAATCAATCTACAAATTAAAAGCTGAATCATGTACCAACAAATCGGAAATTGAGTCATCTAAATTGTTGTTGACCCAATCAGTTTAACCCGTACCATGCATGATTTAACAGATAATTACAGGGTTTTTTGGCCTTTGTTCCTAACAGTTATGATAACATTGTACTCAACCAAAACACTTGCTGAAGACTGGGAACACAGCTACACTGCCATAAAAAGTCTGCCCGATAGAATTAATGGTCAGAACCATGAAAATAAAACCTGTTGTAATAAACAGAAATTATCCTTTAAGGGAAGCCCATTGTTTTTGTGCCTTAACTCATTTTATAAAAATACACATATTAATTGTTTACCATGACTTGTAAAGACATCCCTAATGTCCTGTGTTCTTCCCCTACTCAGAAAGGATTGTATGACGAGGCCCTCAGTAGCTTTTTCCGAAATGTGGACTCAAGGTAATCACGCCTGCTTTAATCCAGCATGGGGTGAGATACAGTATGTGCCTCCTGACAGTGGTCCAAATGTAGTCCTGTTATAATTGGCTTGTCTTTCCAGGAAAAGTGATGGGGGTGCCTGCGTTGTTGGTGGGAGAATCCAACATCTGAAGGCCAGGGTAAGTTCTGCTCATTACTGCAAAACAGCTTGAGAGAACATTTTTTTATCTGCTGGTTTCACAGGAGTAACAGCCTATTTTAGAGTCAGGGTCAAGGCCAGGGTTGGATCAACATAATGAAAGGTTTGGCATCCAGTGGTTTAGGTTACAAGGAGTAGTTATGGAATGATAGCAGGGGGTCAAAGCCATGTGCTCAGCATATAAGAGCAATGAAATATGTGTGCTGTCCTCATACCCGCATATTTGAATCCACAGGCGGTGCTGGTGGACATGGAGGAGGGAGTGGTCAATGAGATCCTGCAGGGGCCACTGAGAGAAGTGTTTGACAGCACTCAGCTTCTCACAGACGTGTCAGGTTCAGGCAACAACTGGTGAGAGACAGACTAGCCACAGGACGTCTGCTCACAAGCTCACATGACTGGTAGCACGTGTTGCAAACTGTAATTCATAACATAACTAATTTGCAGTCATTTACACGTGCAGTTACATCACACAGAGTTGTAAAGGTGTGGTGTTTAAGGATTGAGTCAACAATGTGAATTGCCAGAGTTAGTTTCTGAAATTTCTAAATATTTCTCTCCTTGTCTGGAAGCATTAAAACTTGCTTTTTTATACAGCCACCACATTTCAAATCCCCAACAATATGACAGAGAAAAGAAACAAAAGATCACTAGTAGCTTAGTTGTTTCACCAATTGATTGATTTGTTTTATTCCACTTTCCCCTTTCTCAAGTCTACGTAGTGTAATCTGGGGAAAAGGTCAGTAGTGCGTCTTGACAGGTCTAGTGTAAATATTCCCTCTGTAGGTTTTGGCCTGACAGCCACTGTCATAAAAGTCTCTTTGCAATAATGTGCTTGTCAAGCACTGGCAGTGGATTTTCATCATATTATAGTGAAAATAAACCCTTTTTTTTTTTTGCTTTAACTTATCATTATAAAATAAATGTTGATTGTACAATGTTATAATGACATTGTACAATCAACAATCGATCTGTGTTTAGATTGGTTTCCTGTAAGCCTTGCTTTCACTCTGCAACTCTGTCTGCCACTGGGTACGATCTCCTGGGAAAATAAAGGATGGATTTATGGCACAAAGGAAGTGCATCAACCATTGTGCAGCATGGTAGCTATCGGTAGCTATCCCCATTAACCAAAGAGTATCAATATATGTTTGAAAGCTCACACTGTTTTGTTTCTAAGTTTGGCTGTCTGTTAAGGCAAACTTATTTAAGTGATGTCATCAGAGCTGCTGTGTTAATGAATTGGCTAAATGAGGTTTAGTTTCAGTTTCGTTTGTTGTGGTTGATATTAAGACATTTTTTCCTCCTGTGTTTTTTCAACATTTACCTATAATACCTTTGTTTATTGCTGTGTGTAGATGCTTAAAGGTGAGTGTATTTATAATTTAAACCCAGATATTAGTGTGGTTATTTGCTAGGCTCTGAGTAAAACAGAAAGCTATCTGGTTGTCTTTGCAACAGCAGCACCAATACTTGGAAAACGCTGGGGGGCGGGGGGTTGAAAAGTTGTTGTTTCCATTTCAAAGAGCAGTTTTCATGAGACAGACAGACTTGTTGTGGCTGAATGAAGTTAGAGCTGTGATAATCGCAGTTAATCCATTTCCCCCACAACAAAGCCCTTGATCAGCCTCTTATTCTGAAGTTTTTATGCATAAAAAGCTGACTTTAAATTCTTAAAATAATTGGTTGTATCTTCTGTTGCAAAACATGCAGACATTTATTTTGTCTGATGTGCCATGTGTGATGTTTGTGAGCCCTCACAAACTGATACTCAATTAGAAGTCATTTTTTCTTAAGCATTCATTATAATGCGGCTTTGAAATATCGTATCCTTTGTAGTTAATGCCTGTGGAAAATTGTGCACATACCACACCATCTCAAACCTGCAGCCCATTTTGACACAAAAAAAAATCAAGTCATTGTTTTACAGCTTTGCCCTTTATTAACATACTGCTTCTTCTCCAGGGCAGTTGGACACATGACGTATGGCTCAGCCTACAGGGAGCAGATAGTGGATAAGCTGAGGAAGGCAGCAGAACACTGTGACTGTCTGCAGTGCTTTTTTCTCATTCACTCCATGGGAGGAGGTAAGGAATGAGGACAGTTTGACCCCATACATGCATCGAAGCATTGATGCTTGCTGAAGGTTTGCCTGTATAAATGGCTAATGCACAGATTGGAATGTGTGGATGCTTGAACCTCAGCTCCAGCAAGCCTTTTTTTGTAGTCATTGATCTTAAGATGTTGGTGTTGAGCCTGTTAGTGAGACTGAAAATGTCTTTTGTGTTTGAGTACATGAAAACATTTGGATTGACCCTTTGTCTTCATAGCATGAATATGTCTCCATTTTAAAAATACCTAGTTATATGTATAGATGGGAAATTGAGCTGGAGGTTCCTACAATCTTCTACACTAAATATAGAAACCAGGTTTTAAGTTTACATTGAAGGAATCTGGTCAGAGAAGAAAGTACACACATTGGTTATGATTTTGAGGTACGGGCTCTGGGCTGGGGACCAGAGTGCTGAGCCTGCTGGAGGAGGAGTTTCCTGAGGTGTGTCGAATTGTCACCTCCATCTATCCATCTGTGGAGGATGATGTCATCACCTCTCCATACAACAGTGTCCTGGCCATGAGGGAGCTCACCGAGCACGCTGACTGTGTCCTGCCTGTTGAAAACCAGGTTTGTGCATTTGTAAATGTTTCATTTCCCCCCTCTCTGCAAAAAACTCTGCAGTATTTACATTAAAGAGTAAATGTTCTCCCTCACGTCTCCTCCTGCAGTCACTGGTCGACATTGTGAATAAGATTAAACAGATGTCTCATGGTGGAAAGCCAGGGTCTGTGATCAAGAGAGACAGCACCATCATCTCTGGGCAGGGCGGCCTCAGTGGGGCAGAGAAGCCCTTTGATGCCATGAATAATATTGTGGCTAACCTGTTGCTCAATATTACCAGGTGTAGTATTTCAGTTTGCCCACATACAGTAGACCCCTGTCTGCACAGGGCAAGGGGTCTGTCCTGCAGTATTTTCCACTAGACAAGCTCCCGTGGTTTTGGCACTGTTGTTTTTCTTGTGCTAGGGTCAGCAAAATATAACAATATTTATAATACTACTTAATATACCAGTGAGTGCTCCCAGTCCCCTCATTTTATCTTTATCCATCAAGGCAAATTCAGACTATTCACCTGCTTCATCAAGAGCTAATTAAGTGCCTGTGTTAGTCGATCACCTTTTCAATCCACATTTATCTTGTGTGGCTTAGATATGTATTTATTCAAAAAGCTCAAACTAAAGTAGCAGTAAAACTGTCCATGCCTTAAATGTTGCTTATGTGTCATCTTACCCTTCCTTCTTTTTTTTTTTTCTTTTTTTTTTTAGCTCAGCTCGTTTTGAGGGATCTCTCAACATGGATCTAAATGAGGTTGCCATGAACCTGGTCCCCTTCCCTCGTTTACACTACCTGGTGCCCAGCCTCACTCCTCTCTACACACTGGCAGACGTCAGTATCCCCACCAGAAGGTCTGTTCTCTGCCTGTTATTTTTGTTTTGTCTTTTACCTCATTGTTGTTCTGAACTCCATCATTCCCTCTACACATGCCAATGTTGACTGTGGTGATGAACAAGAAGATGACCTCACTGATTAGAAGTGTGTCAGATTTCATTGGAAACATAATGATGAAACAGTACTGATCAAGTAGGACAATGACTTACAGTGAAACCTCAGTATTTTTCAACCTGGACCCTAATTTCCCATATTTTTTATATTGGTCCAGTACTTACCGTCAGGGCTGCACCTGTCAGCAGCAAAACAGGCTGCAGTGTAATATTTACGGTAATTACACACCTTTAATTTACATCCACTAAATGTGCTTGTTTTCAGGATATTATTCTAAGTCTCTTACAGCATTATGGACGGGATCTCTACAGAGATAGAGCGCTTTTTGTTTAACCAGAACTCCACTTAAATTATCAGTCATTTTATTATAGTAAAATAATTCAAAGTCAACAGAACAAAATGAAACTCACCAAAAAGCCCTCTTGGTTTGTCTTTTCACTGTTCAAACAATCACCAGCTCTGGTTTGATTGAAATAAACCCTTAATTCACCCAGTTGGGTGTAAAAATATGTTGGCTCTATACACCTTAAAATTACAGTTTTTTAGATGGAGTCTGGTGGGTTTGGTGATGGAAACTTCAGGGCTAATTCTGGTAAATAACATATTTTTTTCCTTGTGTTGCTTAATGTATTGTATGTATCTTGTATCTCAATTGGACCTTCCTAACTAAATAAAGGGTAAATAACATCAAATAAAACGGTATGGTATGGTATGGTATGGTATTACTGATAGTGCTGGGTAACATGATTAAAACTAGTGTCACAATACAAATAAAAACTTCTTTTTTCCAACATCAATATATTATGTTATGACAAATGTACTGAAGTAATATAATTACCAAATGCATTTAATCAGGCAAACCACTTAACACTTCAGTAAATAATTTTGTACGTTTCTTTGTTTTAGAATCATTTATTTAGCCAATCCAACTTTGTAAAACAACAACATAAAATAGAAACTTTTTTTGTGTTTTTCCGTCGTCGTTAATTTATAACTTCTTCTTTTTTTTTTGTTTTTTGTTTTTTGGTGCATAAGATTTTCAAACACCACAAAGCCAGCTTTCATTTTATCAAGAAGGATGGTTGCAATTTCCAGTTTACTGTGACAGAAAAAACACCATTCGATCCACCCACCTACCCACCCACCTTCTCCCCAACAACAGCTGCCATGAAAGTGGCCTTGTGTGAGCCAAACAGACCTCATGTGCTCCAGAGGAGCAGCTCATTGGTCAAAAAAGACTGGTGGTTGTGGTTGAGGTGAATATATGTGACTGTATGAATGCAGAGCAGGGTGTTGCTTAAAAATATCTTGCCTGCTCAGCAGAACTTGCCTGGAAAAATGAGGTACAAAAATTCTTCTTTCTCAATCATTGCCCCCCTTGGCCCCCAGACTGTACCTAAAATCCCTGAAAGGCCACTGCAATTTCTAGAGCCAGTAAATAGAGGCATTATGTGCTGACCAAGCAAACAACACAGGCTGTTATTTGTCAGGATGCAAATGTGAATGTGATATCTGGAAATATTGTTAAGTGTCTTTTATTTTTTTACTTCTCTGTCTCCTCTAGACTGGATCAGATGTTCAGTGATGCCTTCAGTAAAGACCACCAGATAATCCGAGCCGACCCGAAGCACAGCCTCTACCTGGCCTGTGCCCTCATGGTCAGGGGCAACGTGCGGGTGTCTGACCTCCGCAGGAACATCGAGAGGTCAGAGTATCATCCTCCCGCTCCGTCTCCTTGTGCACCAAAACAGCCCACAAGTCAGTACACCCACCCTGATAGGCCCATAGATGACCTTCACACTCACTCCCCCAAATAGTGCCCCCATTCAGCACCGACAGCAATGATTCATGACTGGTCCATTCAGCACACACCTCTCCCCTCACTGCTCTCCCTGCAGACCTTGTTTTCATGTGGCGTGTTGTGAAGAGAAACTGAAACAGAGCCGCTGTGAGAGCACATATTCATGCGTGACCATGGTGTAAAAGAGGAGTGAAGGAAGGGAGGAGGAGGAAAAGTGCATAAATATTGCCCACCAAGGGCACTCATAATCACCGGACATATATTTCAGCATATTTTGCTGTTGGGTATGCCGGCTATTTTTCATAAAACAAATAAAAACTTAACTTAGGATGCTTTTCCCTATCAACTTTTGAAGTGTGGACAAAAAAATTAAACAGTAACAAATGTTTTGACAGACAAATTGTTTGCCATTTATAAAGCAAAAATGCCAAACATGGTTGTTTCCAGCTGTTAAAATGTGAAGATTTGCTTCATTTCTCTGTCTTATATCTTTGTAAAGTAAGTAATGTCTGTCAACCTCACCTTGGAATCTGGGAAACTTTGATGGACGTTTTTCACAATTTTCTGACATTTTATCAACTTAATTAATTGGTTAAATGGAAAAATAATCAACAAATAAATCAACAATGAAACTATTTATTTGTTGAAGGCCATAACTTCCCCATCACAGGATAGCAAATGATAATACAAACAGTGCTGCTGCACTGTATTAAGTGTAACGAAGACGCTCGTAGATTTTTTTATAAGTGAAATGTAAAATGTCCTCTCAGGGGCCCCATGAACCCTGAAATCCTTTAAATTTTATGCAACACTTCTTGCATTTGACATGTAATTTTTCTCCCTGTTCTAGACTGAAGCCTTCGCTGCCCTTTGTCTCATGGAACCAGGAAGGCTGGAAGACTGGCCTGTGTTCAGTGCCTCCTGTGGGTCACTCCCACTCCCTGTTAGCCCTGGCCAACAACACGTGTGTGAAGCCCACGTTCATGGAGCTGAGAGAGCGCTTTACCAAGCTCTACAGGAAGAAGGTGCAAATTATTCTCTGTTTTTAGACCATTAGAAGATTCAGCAAAAGAATGTAGCATTTATCAAGTCAAAACATCAAATATTTCCATGGGCCAGCTTGTCAAATGGGAGCATTACTATTTTATCTCGACTACTTATCGTAGATTATATTTGAGGTTTTTTGACAGTTGATTAGACAGCAGACATACTGTAGCTCTCTGTTCTGGTAACTTGTGGTGGACATTTATCATTTGTTTTCCACACTCAAAGTCAGATTGAAATACGTTTGTATATGCAGACTTAAAGGGGACATATTATGCTCATTTACAGGTTCATACTTGTATTTGGGTTTCTACTAGAAGATGTTTACATGCTTTAATGTTCAAAAAACACAATTTACCTCATACTGTCTGTCTAAAGCATTCAGTTTTAGTGCCTGTCTCTTTAACCCCCCTCCCGAAAAGCCCAGTTTGCTCTGACAGGTCAGCATTTCTGGGTCTTCCATATCTCATCCATTTTTTAGTGGCCAAACGGTGGAATTACAACTTCAGGTCAAATGATGCCATTTGACGCAAAAATATTTTTTTCCACACAGAATTAGTGGATGCATTTTCTTTTTTTGCCGTTGCAACCCCTGTGACATGACTAGTTTTACTGTCAGATTTTGATCCATTTGGGGGCGTCGGTGGCTTAGTGGTAGAGCAGGCGCCCCGTGTACAAGGCAGCATCAGTGCCGCAGCAGCCCAGGTTCAACCCCAGCCTGTGGCCCCCTGCTGCATGTCACTCCCTCTCTCTACCCCACTCACACTTGTCTGTCCTATCCATCAAAGGCTAAAAATGCCCCAAAAAATATCTTAACAAAAAAAAAAAAAAAAAAGATTTTGATCCATTTGGTCCAATATTTGGAAAGTATAAAAAACAACTGATTCATTTTATAGCCATTCAAGTTAGCAGAGCACTTAATTAGAGGTAGCTGGCTCAGCCATGGGAAGTCTCTAGTGTGCCTGTTCTATGGGCCCAGTGATGTGAAAGTAGCACTGATCATCTGGGTATTTTTATACGCGGTTGTTGAACGTTTTTGGCTCATGTGCCACTGAGCAACTTTCATTGGAATAAACGTGGCCCCGCCTCCAACGCTGTATCCAGTTCTCATTATACATCCATGCTCTGCACTGTCATCGCAGCCAGTGGAATGACTGTAACAGAGTGTAGCAGCTCTTGCCACTGTGAAAGATCACCAATTAAAACTTCTAAACCAAAGTCTTCACAGCCAGATGTTTCAGGAGGAATATGATCCGAACTGTGGAGAAATTAACAACATAGGCGATCAAGATTATATGCCTCTCTAATGTTATCATGTAGCTACATGTAGCAGTGTAGGCTATGTGATGTAAAGCCTTGCAGTAGCATGCCTGGAGCAGATGACCATATAAGGGGCTGTACACATGCTGTGTCTATAACCACCTGGTAATTGCGAGTTTGGGCGCTATCCGCTACTTTTGTGCCTACTGTGTGCCAACTTTTAAGGTCGTGGAGGCAGGTAGTGTCTGATGTTGCTAAGCAACTATAACCAGCACTCTATCATAGCCCACTTACCAGAAATTCTTCTTCTTCAAGGTGTTGTTTTGTAAGTGTATTTTAGGCCAAAAATATCCATGGCACAGAGGTAAAGTTCTGGGTAGCCCTGCACTGAAATGATTAATTTCTCCTCCATTTTTACCACACATTGATATTTACGGAAGAAGGGAAAGATATCTGCTGGCTGTGATGTGTTGTTCCTCATCACATAACATGCAGTGCTTACTGCTGCGTTCCAAAAGTTGAACTCCATTTATCTCAGGGCACAGACGTTGCGACCTAAAAAGTAGGCACTCTGGAACGTGTACATGCCGCGATGGTGTTGCTCTGGCGTTTGAGCCCACCTGCTGCGCAACTACATTGAAAACAATTAATTTTAGGGTGCAAAAAACATGGCATGTGTAAAGAAATCCGTCATGAGCTGACATTAGCATGTAGCCAAAGTAGAAAAAGATTGGAAACAGAGTCCTCAGAACGGTCTGAAGCCTGATGTTTTTGCTTAATATACACATCCAACATTATAACATTATATAAATATGATAGCGAATAAGAAAAAGTATAATTGGTCCTTTATTAACTTACAGTAAACTGTGCTCCCTCTATGTTTTTTGAAGGCTCACTTACACCACTACCTGCATGTAGAAGGGATGGAGCAGAGCTTCTTCTCAGAGGCCATCAGCTCCCTCAGCTCACTGATTGAAGAGTACCACCAACTAGACGCCACCAAGGGGAGACTCATGCCTGACGCACCCAGACTCTGCATCGCCAGATGAAGGTCCGCTCTGTTGTAGATCTTTGTCTGTCTGCTTGTATAGTAATGATTATTTCTCAATAAGGACTTGACACAACCAGATCTTTTGTATATACCTTTATAAGTTATACAATATTGTCTAATTTTTTACCTGATTAAAATGTTCTCTGTCTAAAAAAATAAGCAGGAACAACATGAAAAAAGAGTTAAACTCAATCTGTAGTGTGACCTGATTTGCCATTTCAAGGCTCCCTGACTGTAGAATTATGAGGTACTGTTGATGTGTCCACATCTGCTGTTGCAGCAGCTCCACTGGCCATATTCCTTGTTGTTATTGCACACACATTTCCTGAAGACAGAGTTCAAGGAAGCTTTTATCGTAACTACAACATATTTCTTCATTTATTTATTGATCCCAGCCATTCTTCCTTATGAAATGAGGTTTTTGTAGTTTCATTTTGAGTTTTTTGAGATTTCTTGAGGCACATCACCACTGCTGAGGAGAACTTAATGACCGAAGTATGCATACGTTTCAGTCCTTAGTCTGCCACAGCAGGGCTTGATCCTGCGTCTGTGTCTCTGGACTTCGTTGATGGATCCGTTAGAGTAACCGCAGGTCAGAAAACATGTCGCCTGGATCATTGCACTTCTTCTGGCACACGCAGGACGTTATCCACTGCATCTTCCACTGTGTGTTGGAGCCTCCCTTGCACGTGAAGTTGACCTTGATCATGCTGGACTTGTTGGGGACACAGCAGCGCTTGTCTGTACAGACACCGCAGTATGTGGGCTTAAACTTCTTGGTACTGGTACAGCCCGAGAGTGTCAGCTTCTCTGCTTTCTTTGCCTGGAATTTAGGCCGGCATGTCTTTCCCTTCGGCACCTACGAGAGGAAAACAATGATTTTATTTTTGAATTTATATAAATCTATGTCCATACCTCAATAGAATTTGACTAACTTGTCACCTTAACAGTCTTCATCACGCTCTTCTCACATGGCCGCAGCAGACACAGGCGTCGGTCCTTCCTCATCTCACATTTGCCGTTGTCGTTGTTGACACGCACAGAGATGCCCAAGCCGCAGGTTTTGGAGCAGGGGCTCCAGGGGGTGGTCTGGATCAGACAGTTCCTTTTCCAGGCTAAAGGAGGATCCCTGTAAGCTTTCAGTATTACAGTTAAAGGGCACTGTGTCAACAAAACCCTACACAAAGAACTAGTCTGTGTGCCACTGCACTGCTTAGCAGAGCACAGACCCCAAATACCTGGTCTTACCTGCCACAAGGGAATTAACTCTCTGCTCCCAAAAATTCTAAATGTCTCCTTTGAGCTGTACTTACATGAGTAATGTGGAATGAGTAAAGAAACAGACATTCAGCTGAACTGAAATGATCTTTTAGACATCCCAAAAGGTTTCAGTGTCCTTGGGTGGATGTCAGCTCTTTAATTTTAGATCTAAACAATGTGCTGTTTTTCCACACTGACAAATGAAATCAGTGTTTCCCTGTCTGTCCATGATATAGATGTGTTTCTGCAGAGTTTACGGCCAAGCAAAACAAACTTCACTTGTATATCAAAGTGGATTCTATGGCGCTTTTAATAAAAAGTGAGTCGACCCTCCTCCTGTTTATGACTGGAACCATCCATCTTTCTGTTTTCCTCTGTGAAGCAGTGAAACCACAGTGGGTTACACCTCCTCCCTCCGCTCACGCTGCCACAGTAATGAAAGGCCCACACCCCTTCCCAACCAGCTAACTTGGACAGCAGTTAGCATTCCAGTCCAGTCAGGCTGGCCCTTCTCCACAGTCTTATTCTACACACACACACCTGTCATGTAGGTAGTATCCTGCTGATGCTTCTTTGGGCTCTGGCCGCTGCGAAGGCCAGCTGGCATGTTGCCCATCAGCGGGGCAAGACCTAAGAGGCCGGCAGGCTTCTGGAAAAAAACAGGGGTGCAGCCGATGGCTCCAGCAATACATGTGCACTTATAGAGGGGGCTGGGCTGGAAACCTTCTCCGTTCTCATAGTGGGCCCCATTCAGGTCACAGCCTACTGCCATCATGTCTGGAAGAGGGAGGCAAACATGTCAGGGTTCTGGTGCTCACTGATGCAGGCAAAGCACATCTCTTGATGATGTGATTAAGAATCTTAAGAACTGCATAAGACTTTTACATAAATAAAGTCGTTTTGTGTCACACAGTTATTTCCACAGGCGCACAGAGGAAACAGAAAGGAGCTTGAAAGTATTATCAAGATATCTTGTCATTGTGATTATCTTATTTTGACAGAATATTAAAAATTCAGTTTGGCAATGTGTAAACATTAATGTTATGTAATATACATATAACACATTTTTTTAGAGCTGTTGTTTAACACAGTACATTGTAAAAATGAAATTTAAAAAATGCTTTAGGTAGCTGGTACATACTTAAAGTGCGAGTGGAACGTTAGCTGTTGTAGGCCGGTTTATTGGTAAGAATTTAAGTATCCATTCTGTCAGATGCTTGTGAAATGGTGGACTTAAAAAGATGGATCTGGTCTAGACCATGAATGTATCAATGTGAACCGGATACCGCGTTCAAAGATGGCACCGGATCCAGTCCTATAAAAGCTGCTCAGTGAGTGCTTAAAAAGCTTTTATTTTTCTGTTTTTGAGTCTTTGTCCTGCCAAACACGTGGAGATTATGTGCATCAGACTTCTGCTGGCTGAGCCGACAGACATTTTGTTTGCGCCGACACACGCTTGAATGGAACGAAATTATTTTATTCGTATGACTCAAATAATACAAAGAGTCATTTCAGGGGGTTGTGACGGTCAAAAACATGTATCAAATCCTTTTACTGCTGCTTCTTTTCCAGTGATTGTAATAAAAAAAAGCTTTTGGGCCAGTGTGCTTCATGCAATGATTCCAGTGTGTGGCCACTAGGCAAAAATCACCTCACAGCACAAGATAAAACGTAGAAAAACAGCTCCACAGCTATTAAAGGTCTAAAACTCCAGTGTATCAGATACATATTAAGTCAACACTAAGGCAGATGTATTGGATCAGACTCGGCATTGGCAGACACCCAGTACTAAAGCACTTGACTGGGACATCCTGTTAGGTCTATTTGATATATTTTCTCACTGGTTCCTGTTGCAACACACCCACAACAATGCGGATCCTTGCGTTCCTTTAACACAGTGCTGCTTTCAGTCTGGACGACTGATAAACGTATGCATCACACTGACCACTGACCAAGATCTAAGGAACAAAGGGATGTATACTGAACAAAATTATAAAAGACCTTTTCTATAACACAAAAGGTAGATTTCTCTCAAACTGTGGTAACATATATGTTAGAATCCATGGTAGTGAGCACTTATCTTTTTCCAAGATAATCCATCCACCTGACAGTTGTGGCAAATCAAGACAATGATTAAACAACATCATTACTACACAGGTGTGCCCTAGTATTGTCACAATAAAAGGCCACTCTAAAATGTTCAGATTAAGCTTAAAAAAAATGTATTAGGCACTCTGACCCTCACATGGGATTCATTCCTGAGGAAATCACTTCTCCAAAGTGCCAGATGCCGTCATAGTTGAGCATTTTTCCATCTCATGTCAGTTACAACAACACACTGCTGTCAAGTCAAGATCTTGCTGAGAACGAGGAGCATGCAAATGAGCTTCCTTGAAATGGTTCCCGCCAATTTGTGCAGAATATCTTTGGTTTTGTGAGCCAGCTGCTGCATCAGCAGTGTGGTTGGCTGGTCTCAGCTGGTCTCACAGGTGAAGATGCTGGATATAGAGGTCCTGAGCTGGTGTGGTTACAGGTGATCTTCAGTTGTAAGGGTGGTTGGATGTACTGCCAAATTCTTGGGAACGACATGCCAATATCTTGTGTCAAACTTACAACATCTGTGGCATTGTGTTGTGTGATAAAACTACACATTTTAGAGTGTCCTTGTACTGTGACCATCCCAAGGCGCACCTGTGTTGTAATGATGATGTTTAATCAGCATCTTGTCATTTGCCACACCTGTCAGGTGGATGGATTATCTCAGATCTTCTTCAATCTTTTATTTCAACTCATGAAAAGGGTAGCAAAAACAGAAGGGTTTTTTTTTTCCAGTTCAGTTTGAAACAGAAATAACTTACTGTAGCACTCCTGTTAATTTGACCTATCTTAACATGACTACTTGAGAGAAGATGGGAGCCACTCACATGCACACACTCCGACCTCGAACCTGGGCCGGTCAGCTGAAAAGTCACAGTACATTCCCTTGTGTGGGTCACAGATGTCCCTCTCATTGCACGGCTCTCCGATTTGCCTGGCACAGCTCTTGCAGCAGCCACACCCATCCAGGACAGAGCTCACTCCCGGGGCACAAAAGGGTCTTTGCGGACACTTGCAGGGCCACTGGCAGAACTGCCGCCTCTCAGCAGCAGCCCGCCCATCTCTAACAGTTAGCTGCCCATTGTTCTGAGCCCTGCTGAAGCACTGGGTAAGGAGAAGGATAGAGATTAATTTTGAATGCCCTGAATGCAATTCATTTTTGCTTCCACACTGTAGCTTAGTTGAGAAAGTTTTTTCCACCACTCTTCTAGTATATTGGAATGTGAGGTAAAGCATTCAGCCTTTGATTAGACAAAGATGTTTGATAGTTTTTGAAATCTATCAAATGTGCTAAAAGTGACATTCTGAACTCCGTACCACTTTTCCCACCCTTTGGCTAGGCTTGCTTAGATAAAATAAAAAAATTAAAATAGTCAGGGTTTCATGTACAAACTCTGTTGATTCTTGACACAGCAGCTGTTTCTGTATTGAATTTTAATCTGCTCATCATACACCAACTTGGTTATAGATAAACAGGATCCACACTTGTACTTCTATACGTTTTGCTTGGAAAGAGTTGCTGGGCACACCCACACCCCCAGAAAATGTTGAAAAATGATTAGTTACGCCTTTGCCCACGTATTTCATGTAATTCGTTCTCTTTGAGGTCTGCATCTCCCCAGACCGAGACTTGGGTATAAGACAAGGTATCTCAAAGACCTATTTCC